CTCACTCAAGCCATTGAGAATGAGTGCCCGTATGAATAGCTTCTTGACGAAGACCGCTGGCCAAATCCAAGTCACTTTTAAGATAGAGACCATTCATCGACGATTCGGGCAATCCGAGAAGAATTTCTGGAGATACTCCTTCACGAAGTAGCTGACCGCGACCTTTTGTACTGCAAGAAAATAATGGTTGCTAATTGTATGAAGTCTTGTCGAAACTTATCGAACACGAAATCAACACTGTAATTACCATGGCACCACACATATAAAGCAGCGACGAGTTCGCCACGACCAAATTGCGTCAGCTTGACGAGTACGACAATTCATGCATCGTTTGGTGAAGGCGATTCGTAAGACCTCCTTTCTTGATAGACCAAAGACCGAGGAGCCTAAACTAAGAGATGCTCAAATACCTGATTACAGTCAGAGGACTGAGGACATCATACCAGTGATTTCGGTAGGCCCAGCATGATTCCACATATGGTAGTCCGTGATGACATTGGAGAAATGACGAGACGTCTTTTCAAGCTTGCCAAGAGTGAACATGTCTAGCCTAAAACACATGGAATTGAGTTCAAAGTCAAGCGTTGGTGCATGCGAGCTCAAAAATCCAAACACCATCACAACCAAGTGGTTTCTACATAATGGCTTACAACGCCATCAGTTCGTTCATCAAAAATCATTGAGAAAAAGTCTCACATTTCAAAGATATGATGTAGGATTTCAAATGGCAAATCATGCACAGATGCATCAAACACGTGCCGACAGGCTGAGTCGTTTTCAGACTGGAAGTACAAGGTGGTTTCGGCGATAATCCTTTGAATCCTATCAATAGCAGTTTCATTTTCATCCTGAAGGTGCTCCTTTTCATTAATGTCGACTTCTTCATCTTCCATATCATGTCTTGTAATGTCAATGTCTTTTTCTGCGTCGAATAAGACAACAGGCTCCGGAATGGACTCCTCTTCGTTGACGGGAGAAGCGCTAATTAAATAGTCCATAGGGATGAAACTACTCAGCAGCTTTGGGATGTCCATCTCTGTCTCGGTATGCAACGAAAACCAGATTTACTGACACGAGAAAATGAAGGTGCAAAGGTCACAGCTTCACGCGATTACGACACCGGGATCGATTAACTACTGCTTTAAAGCGTGGATACCGATAATTTTGGACAAACAAATAGCAAGCGGAACGTCAAAAACCCAAACGGTCTGGCCTGATGCTAAAGTCTTGAATTTCTGACACTGAGATGTAAGCGGTCGCTAAGACCAAGAGCATCTATCGGTTACAATTTCTTCAAATCACGACTTGGTGGCATGATAACGAGCTTCGAGTAAAGAATGATACCCAAAAACGCCTAACTTTGTTTACATATATGGTGATGCAGTTTTTACCGCATTTGCGCGAATAGATTCATACCCAACATACATAAAGTTTGAGTATCATTCTTTCATTTTAGCTGCACTTTAAGATTTTTGATATGCTTCTTGTGTGTGTACATTTTGGATTTTAAGCTTCACCGAGCTGCACCTTTTGGCTTTCCCCCATAATCCAACATCAATCCTTCATCTTTATTCTGTTTAAACGACTTCATCTAAAACGTCTATTGATGAAATACTGTCAGCGAGATAGAGATCCCTCATAACGTTTGTAACTTACGTCAACACAGCCATCAGCACTCATACGTTTTGCAAACAGATGACGAATCACATCATATCGTCTGAATCGCGTGCCATCGTGACATTTGATGCACTCAAACGTCAATCCAAGCTCTGGAGGGCCCACACACATGCACAAGCTTTTGTTGAGCAACAAAGTCCTCCACGAGACTGTTGACCAATGACTGCCACGGATTTTGTATCGTCTGGATTGGAAGCGTTGACCATCTGGTAAATGAGAATGTATGCTAGCAAATAGGACATCAAGCACCGTAGATCAATATCGGATTTCATCATGGAGCTGGCTAGTCGTTTGATTATTCTTCCTCGTGCTTACAACTATTCGCGTCTCTTGAATAGTTGTAAGCACTAGTGGTTGTTTGGGAAGTCGAGAGCCTCGAGATGGACTTTTAAGAGCCATAGTGGTCTGAGAAAATTCAAAAACGAAGTCAAGTTCAGATTTCAGCAAAAACAAAAGAAAATATTTGACAAGAGCCTACAAACCGATACATTTCAAATATTTGATGCACCAGTTCAAATGACAGCTCGTTTCTATTTATAGGTGCTGGATACGAGGCTTCCAACCGTGCACTAGCCTGATGGTACTCTTCAGGGCTCTTGGAAACAATTTAAACCATTTTCAAAATGAGAACTTTGATTTCAATCTCGTCGTCTGAGTCAACAAGTTCTTCTTTACCCAGTCCTCTTCTACTCTCTTACTAGTCGTTCAGGGTTCTTCGACACCTCGTCGTTGGCGAGGGAACTAATCCAGGATTCCATGCAAATATTTAGGATTTCAGAAGCTGCCAGTAAGCTCTCATAGCTGAGAGGTTGTTCTCATGTGCTAGCAAAGTGTGACAAGGAGATTGGAACTGACACGAGGCACAAGAAGGCATAAAGTGGATGGTATTACGTGACTAGGACACTGAAATCTGAATTTCTTAATCTTTTCACGATACAATTTGATACATTCATCTACCTTTAAACTACCTCAACCTTCAACTTGACTCGTGAGTTTGGTGCAATTCCGAACTGGTGTGTTTTTGATATAGCGGTCGCTCACCATGACCATATCTAGCGAATAAAATCTCAACGAAATATAGCACTTGCAACCATGATCTTCACCAATTCTCATACAACATTCAGAGCTTTGCACGTGGGGGTGAATTTGTGAGTTTGTGACGTCAGTGGCAAGAAAGTGAAGATCAATTCCCCCACTTTTACACACTCAAGCCTGAACAAGTTAGCTTCGTTTGCCAGTCAAGAGACAACTGTATTACTGTATTCACCCTTACATCGGCTCTCTCACCTTTGACCTTCATAAACCCTCCAACAATGTCGAATCTGCAACAACAGCCAACACCAACCATGGAATCAACCTCTGCACCAAAGAAGACGTATGCCTTGGACGACGCAGTCCAATGCCAGCGTATCGGCAACACTAATCGCTATGATGTTGTCGTGAAGAGGGCATGGCTCAAGTAAGTCTCGATCAAGATTATAGATCAAACTTTTACATCCTTGACAATGTTGGATTTGGACACTTTGGGAGTTTTACTTGAAGCATTATATGGCATGGACCATTGCATCTGGTCTGTGATCAGTACAAACAATTTGGAGATCTGCCTATACATCAAACACAATTTTACCACCTCAAGATCACCGTTTTTTCTGGTGACAGCGTCGTAAACTACGAAACTGCAACCAATTCTAATTAAATGTTATAAATTACTGACTAATCTACCACCTTCTCTTCAACAGCGGCAATCAATCAGCATTCGGCGGATATGCATTTGGCCTCGTCCTCAACGCAGCCCGCACACACCTCGCCAACATATACGGCCCTTCCAAATACCCAGACCCATACATCGCACACGTCCAATTCATTGGCAAAACCGACGGTGACAAACCTTACGTGATCGAGATCAACATTACAAAAGCAGGTGGAACACTAGTCTTTGTCACTGGATCCATGAGCAACCCTGTAAACAATGAGGTCGTAACCATGATACAAGCCACGTTTGGAAACTTTGACAAAAACACATTCGATATGGATTTGGATGAGCCGGCGCTGCCTCCAATGGTCGCGTATGAGGATGCACATAATTTCCGGGACGTCGAGAGGGAAGTGTGGAAGAGGTCTAATGGTGAATGGACACATAATGTCGGTCAATGGACGCACCAGTATTATGCCAAAGAACATTGTGAGTGTTTTATCATCTCCTATTCAATTACAAATTTCGTCGCTAATTCTCGTCACACTATTGCAGGCGAATATTTCCTGAACGTTAAAAAGAATGCCATGCAAGGAAAAGCTACTCCTCGAGCTGGACGAGTAATGCCTTGTTATGCAGGTAAGAACTGAATTGCGAAAAAAAACCAACCAAACTTGTGCATTCAATCAGTGTCATTGATCACGCACCACTCTTTGCTTTCACATTATCTTGCATCTTGTTACGGACCTCATTCCTCTCATAATCTTACACAGAATGGGCAGACAAGAAACCAATAGACGCACTCTCGATGCCCTTCTTTTCAGATTTCTTTTCTGACGTTGAAATAAGCATGGGATCTCAAGCGATGGCTAGAAAGATGGGTATCCGTTACCGTCACTCAGGAACAATTGCAATGTGTAAGGCAAATCTGTCGGCTTGAAGAATTTGTATTTGGCATCAGCGTTTACATTCGAAACAATCTTACACACACACACCCTTTCCAACAACAGTGGTCCAATTCCTCCGTCGTCCAAACCCAAACTCTGAGAAACCACACGTGGTTAGGATACTGGACAACTCGTATATGATAAAGGGCAGGAACAATACGAATGTGGTTATTTATGACTACGAGGGTCGAGTGCTGGCTACATCGTCACAAATGTTGTCTGAATGGGTTATTCCAAGGAAGCCAAAGGTCGCTAAACTATAGATGGGTGGTGTGTAGATGGTGTAGAAGATGGGGTGTTTTCAAGTTACGAGAACATTTAAGCAACAACCGCTTTCTTGTGCTTTGAATCATAGAGCATTCTGAACAAACCTAATAATATAGACTCGTCTGAAACCAGCCCGCACAGTTCACTTCACAACTCACACCGTTTCTTGCTGTGCTAATCTATGCTAGTATATATTCTGTTTTACATCATGTTATGTGTGTTAATATGTGCTTCTTATACATTTTTTCTCTTCTATACTAATTTTCCAACCAAATGAGGTGTGTTATAACTTATCTAATCTAAATACTGCCGTGTAAATCCTACATCTTTTTTACATCCTTCCCATGCCTTGACTTTTTATGCTTTTGATATGATTCAGTAAAAGAAACACAGGTCAGAGTCTTCATCCTCTTCAATCAATACTTTGGGTGCAACCATTTAGGCCATTCCAAGGGTGCAAGCATACCACCAGAGGACTGACCATTGACACCACCAGCACTAGACGTCAAATTCCCAAAAATTGATACTTTATAATAGACTTTATATCCTTTGGATCTCGTGACTTTATATTCAGAGCAAGAAGATCAATATTCGTAGAGAAGTATGGCCTGAGACTACCAGTGATGAGACCATTTCCAGTAAGCAGGGTGCTGGCAAGCGCTGCCCGCGCAGCATTAATGGTTTTGAAATCACTTTCGACCATGTAGCTGCCATGGACGAAGGCTTCGGGAAGGGCATTTTTATTTGTGCTGTCAATGTTTAGGCCAAATTCATGGGTAATTCCAGTCAATTTGGTGCCTTCGTCAGTCATTTGGAAGGTAATATATTCGGGTTGTGAGGAGATGGTTACCAGGCGCAGATGCCATGGCAATCAGCGACGAATATGTGCGGTAAGGGTACGACACCCATCAAGGTGAAGAAGGTTCTATAGAGAGCGATATCTAGAGTTGCGGACATAATAACGAGTCGGATGTGATGATCGGGACCTTTTCGTAGCATGTATCGTTTGATGAGAAGTGAGAGCAAGTCCATATCAATGCTCCTTTCGTGAGATTCGTCGAGGATTATATGTGAGACCGAGTCCAATACGTCTTCATTGTGGGACAACCATTCAATGAGATAACCGGTGGTAGAGTAAACTAGGTTAATTTAGAGAAAGATTGGTTCAATAAAACAAGAATTCGTCAAGGCAAAAAGAGAGCCAGGACCAAAATGCATTCCAGCACATGCATCAAATGCAGCATATACATACCGTCATCACTATGCTCATCCCTCTTATCATTCATGACTCTATACCCAGCCACTGGACCATTTTCACTATACACATCGTTGACATGTTTGCAAACAGAGATTGCAGCTATTCGACGTGGCTGAGATACTAGGCTTGCCGACAACGCCTTGCATCTTCAGCAAGAGCTTGTGGGATGACTGTAGACTTTCCAGACCCTGTTATTATTGTGTTGTAAGTGAGAAAACGTCAAAGTCATGTCCTCCCCAAAGGCATATGGATGCAATACATACCGGTTTCGCCAACCAAAATTGTAACTTGGTTGTTTCGTACACGTTCTTTGATTTTCGGCACGAATGGAGTAATAGGTAAGGCGCTTTGGCCATCAGTTTTTCCAATCGTGTTCATCATGTTCAAATCGGGCAAGATGATGACATGGCAGTGTTTCTTGATACAGCTAGTATAGAGGGAGGAAGACAAGATTCAGTATGATTGAACAGTACATTTGAAGTATGTATGCTCTTGAATGCTGCTTTAGTAGTAGTCTAACTTCGATTGACAACCGCAGGGTCACTGGGTTTTTTTTTGGGACTCCTGCGCAACTTCAGACTTGTCGAAAACAAAGACTACGAGGCCAAAGGAAGAAGCGATGGTACTTACACTGGGTCTGTGCTGATGCGAGACCTTCTCCTTGCAGTGAGTTTGTATCCTCTTGACCTATTTTGAGTGACTTCTTTGATTTAATGGAATTGAAGCGACGAAAAAACCACGCATTAATAAGAAATAGCGACTAGGTAGAGTAGTCAGTGTAGGATACATACATTTCGGATCCGATCTCCAAGTTTTATAATTCTTGCAATCTTAGAATACACGGTTTGAGCGTAACAAAGCAATCCCGCAAGCTTTTATCGTTTTTCGAGTCGTTGGCGAGCGAATCGACGTGTTACGAGCCTACCAAACACTATATACGACCGATATGCACGGTATAGAGCACTTTTCTTCCTACACAATCTACACTGCACTCTCGTCCTTAACACACCAAACTCCAAAATCCAAACAATGGCAGACGAGAGCAAAGACAAGGGCAAGCAGCCAGCTAGTCTAGCTCCCACCACCAGCACCAGTGCAATGGACGAAGATCAAGCCGAAGAAGAACAAGAATGGGATCAGCAACAAGATGCAGATGGTCAAGCTGAGGACGACGAAGAAGAAGAGGAAGATGCAATGCAAGTAGACAGACAAGCTCAAAATACGGAACAGGTCTTGAAAAAGGATAAATCTCTTGCTGAATTACTCGTCATGATGGATGATTATGCTCCCATCGTATGTCTGACTGAGTTGACATTTAACGACAATTCGACATTGTAACAACTAGCACTGTATTCGATAGGTGCCAGATGCAGTCACAGATTACTACTTGGCTAGAGCTGGATTTGAATCTGAAGATGTTCGATTGTACGTGCTTTCTACCAGTAGTTGCAATTCAAGAAACAAAAGATCGGAAGCTCAATACTTTTCAACCACCTTCCACTTAAAACCTAATACAGGAAACGATTATTGGCACTCGCATCTCAAAAATTCATTGCTGATATCGCCACTGATGCATTACAATGGAGCAAAATCAGGCAACAACAACAAACTACATCAAAGGCAAAAACCAATCCAAAGGTAACTTAGCTGTTGCGTCTGCAAATGTTTGGCTCATGCCAAAAGCCCCGATATTCGGTGCTAGTCTCACACTCTTTATACCTACCAGGACAAGAAAGCAGTCTTGACTATGGAAGATCTGACAAACGCACTCGCAGATCACGGTGTAAACCTCCGAAAACCTGAATACTTTGCAAGTTAGATTTCCGTATCTTTGATAACAATTGTACATAGTATAGTTACACGGCGTTTTTGCATATATAAAAAGGAGAGACTGTTTGTGAAAAGACACTTTGAATGTTTACAGTGTACACCACCACTCATGGCTCATTATCTATAAAGGGTTTATTGCCCGTTGCCCCAAGAACCAGCGACGAGCGTCATTGACATCCTGCTGAGAAGTACCAGCCGTTACAGAAAACACTACGGAATCATGTAAGAATCCATCCAGTTTATCAAAAGTCACTTTAAGATCTAACTCGAGATTGAGTGAGAAAAGAGAAGACGCGCGTCACGTGGAGTCAAAGCTGTTTTTCATCATAACAGAAATCAACCACTCACTCTCATAAGCAGCCCAATCAAAAGCCCCTTGCATCGCATCCTTCACATGAGGCACTTGCCTCAACCACTTGATATACTCCCACACAATCAACGGCTCAGCACTACATCTCCCTCTAAACACAGCAACAATGTCCACCAGAACCGATCCTAGCGAGTCTCCACTCAACAGTCGCGGCAAATTAGCTGGTGGGATTGAAAAGAGCCATGAACCTAGCCGCGGACGATCATATCGTAGTGTGGACCATATGGATTTGAATTCGTAGTCGGTTTGTGGTGGTGCATACTAACGAGCATTGGCAGAATCAGATATTTTTTGCATGTTGTACGAGGTTGACAGCAACTTGAAGGCAATATAAGGCAATTAGATTACCTGACACGGCAATAGATCAAAACTCCAACTTTGACGCATCTCTTTCTCATCGTGTACAGCATTCAGATCTTCTACTTGCACTCCAGAGTCATATCGGAGAGGCTCTACTTTCGTAGCTGAAGACACGAAATCACCCCATTCATCTTCATCGTCCTTCTTGGATACAACAAACTTGGGATTCTGTACAGGCGCCGTGTCGAGATCCTTCATGGCTGATACACGGGGTGCGATGATATTCATGGTGGGAATGCGAAGAGGAACAGTCGTCTTACTAGCAATCTGCTCCTCTTCTTCCTCCTTGACTTTGGGCATAGGAACAAACTTTGGGTTTGGTATCGGTGCGTGCGGTGCATATTTTGGATTTGGTACTGGCGCGTATTTCTTGGTGTCGGTTGCCGGTGTAGTAGCAGTTGCTACTGACGGTGGTGCTCGCAAAGAACTTAATGCAACTGCACCAGGTGTTATGATTTCCTAGGTTGACATACAAGTTGGTGAACAAAAAGAAATGCACAAATCGTTATGCAATGTTACCTCAACCACTTCAACAGCCTCAGTCGTTTCCACAACAATGTCGGCGTTCTCCTCCTCGTCGTCATCATTTACTTCTACAATCATCATTCGTCTCTTGCCAGTGGTTTCACCAGGCAACTTGCGAGCATTGTCTCCCTCAACGTCATGATACTTCCGCGCAGCTTCATCTCGTCCTTTAATAGCATCCTTGTTTTCCGGATCCAGTAACAAAGCAGACTGGAAATCTAGATATGAATCATGGTATTTCCCTCGTTTCATTCGTGCATTGCCACGACGTATGTAGGATTTCAGTGTAAATTCTGGAGATTTTAATGCGAGAGCAGCTAAAAAAGGGCAGTGTGATTAAATTCAAATTCGGGATTTCTCGATGGATTTACTTTGCTTGTACCTGTAGCGTCATTTTCAGCACTCTCGTAGTCTTTCTTCTTAAAGTATGCCAATGACCGGTTGGTATACACATTGGCTTTCGGTAGTATGGAAAGACTTCTCGTATAGTAAATAATCTGGAACAAAGAGGGTTAATTACGCAGTGTGATGTGATCTTGTGCAAAAAATAGCATGTATGTAGCTACTTGGTGTACCACTCACCGATTCATCAACATCACCACACTTGAGACACTCATTTCCTTTGATCTTCTCCTGTTCAGCATAGTACTCCACTTCCTGAGCAGTCAAGTTTGCCGGTACGGTTACATTAGTCGACAGATTCTCGATCACCGAGCTAGATGTGATTTGGGCAGGTGCTGACTTCTTTATCGTTCCTCTTGCTGTCGATGTTTCTGTACCGGCTGATGCGGTTGCATTATCTTCATTATCGTCATCGATTTTCTGCACTTGACCTTCAACATCGTACGAGTCCCATGCACGGTAGTCGGATGACTTGATTCGAGATTCTGTTGTCACTGTGGATGTTTTGGGATTGGTATTAGAAACAGTACTACCACTCGTCTTGTCCTTTATAGTGTTGTGTGTGGCAATGACTGCCGAATTCCTGACAGGAGCGACTGTTGGTTTTGAAGGCAAGAACGAATTCGATTTCAAGTCAAGCGCGCGTAGTTCGATTGCCCATATCTATAAGAATGATAGCTCAGCAAGGATCTGTTCTGGATGTGGGTGTAACTAATTTTCATTCTGTTACGTCAAGTTCATTGCTCGGTATGATTGACGTTGCAGATACGGCAGGTATCAGTCTAGGATAATAATACAGGATCAGATTGTAATTGTAATGAACGTCCGTTTTGTACTCCGGCTTACCTTGAAACTCTCTTTGGATTCAACAATCGCACACGGTTTAACAGCACGGTTTCCATTTCTTCCCAAATTCCTTCCTTTCCAGATCTGAACAGTACAAATAAGAAGGCGAAGGTATCAAGGACATGAGAGTTCTCCGTAAAGCATCGAAAAGATTGTGGCTTACTTACTTCAGAACCGCATACAATTCCATAAGTTCATTGACATCGTTGCATTTTTCAATGTACTGGTAATCCAAGTGTTCCACATCATAGAAATCAGGCACTGCCAGCTGCTGATGAGCAGAATTTGAGTCCCTGGCCGGCAGTAAGTCCATCAACCCATTCATGTCGTCCATTTTCTGAATTTAAAGTCACGGTGAAGGAAGACACGAGTTTTTGTTGAACAAGAATAAATGAATAAACCAAGGCTCTACGGTGGAGACGCGTAAAATCACGTAAATATGGCATTGTCTTGGCAGGAATATGCTTCAAAATTACGTTTATGTGGTTAGTGAAAGGCGTCTAAATTCGCGAAGTCTTGCAGTGCCCAAAGGAATAGATCAGTGCAGGAGTAGTTCGCTAGATCCTTGCGGCTTGCAATTTCGAAGCGTCTGTTTGGGTAAGATCCTTGTTCAGACTTCTTTACAGCATGGTTTTGAAACAGTGACGAACTTCAGAAACTCAAACGTTTTGACTTCTTCTTTTGCATGATAGGATTATGTGTAATTAAATGGCAGCGATGGATGTCGACTACAACGAAGATGAAGGAGATGTCATACTTGCTCAAATCGCACAAGAACAAGAGCTGGAATGGCAAGCACGTCAACATCAGCAGCTTGACGACGATCAACAAGAGGACGACTATTATAACAGTCAAAGTGATCAAGATCACGACGACTTCCAAAGCCAACCAAATCATGAAGAAGAAGACGATGATGACGATCTTGATATGCAAGATCAAAAGAAACTATTGTTGATGTCACCTTCAAAACTCAATGATGAAACTGTAAATGCTAGTGGTATGAATAGGTATGATACTTACAATCAAAGCTAGTCAAACAAGTACTCACGTCAGTACCATACAAGGTATGGCGAAAAGGCTGGAATGGAAAACATTGACAAGGCCAAGATTGTGAGTAGTGTCAATTGGCTGCATTCTCGTCTGATTTGACGCGTTATGAAACACCTGCTCACAGTTCTTTACATGACAACGCTAGAATAAGATTATGGAAGAAGCTTCAAAGGTATCTCAAGTAACTGTCAATCTTGCACTTGATCCAACCGATTCGCACAAGTTGCAGTCAACTCATTAAGGAAGTACAGCTGATTTTTCTCTCGTATTTAACATAAGGGATCAAAATTCAACAATCGACAAGTCAAGAAGGACGAAGAATTATCTCTCAAAGTTCAAAACATTGTCGCTAAAGCCAAACACATTGAATCATTGGATCTGACAGTTGAAACGGCCGTATTAGCTGATCGAGTCAAGGATCTCGAGCTTATTCGAGACTTGTCGCAGACCTTTTGTCATGTCGACATGGACGCTTTCTATGCTAGTGTCGAGGAACTTGATCAACCTGAGCTCAAGGATAAGCCTATGGCAGTCGGTGGTCTTAGTATGATTACCACGGCAAACTACCTCGCAAGAAAGTTTGGCGTACGATCAGCTATGCCTGGTTACATAGGTAAGCATCTCAGGCTTGAAGTCATTAACTTGACACGTTTTGATGATTGCCTAACATTTTGATCTTTTTTGTTCAGCTAAGAAGTTATGTCCTGAGCTCGTCTTTGTACCACCCGATTTTGAGAAGTATACGAAAGCTGCTCGCACGATTCGGAAAGTAATTGCTGTGAGTTTGTTAATTGAATTGTGCTCAGTTTACTTTTTTCTCGTCACGTACCTATCGTTTCTTTCCTCAGAAAGTTTTCGCCGGCTGACACCATTTCATCCCTCGATACTAGCGATACGATCCGAATTTTGTATCCGGCTCGCTGGACGAAGCGTATCTCAACTTGACTGACTACATGCGCAAGCACCCGAATCAAACAGCTGAAGAAATCGTAGCTGAGATGAGACAAGGAATCTTTGATTCAACTCAACTCACTGCATCAGCTGGTATAGCAGCAAACACTATGATTGCTAAAATTGGTGAGATCATTGCACATGACTTCTATTTTTTTCGCCATTTTCCGACATGTCTACCTTGTTCTTAGCTACCGATTTCAACAAACCCAATGGCCAGCATCTGGTTGAGAGTACACGAGAAGCCATCCTGGAGTTTCTTGAAAATCTGCCATGTCGAAAAGTCCCAGGAATAGGAAGAGTCACTGAGCATGAATTGAAGGCTTTAGATATTCATACTGTTGGGCAATTGGTACGAGTGCCTTGCTTGTGTGCATTGTTATGTTTTCACTGATATGTTCAACTCTTGCAGAGAGAGAATCTCATCAAGATATTCATGATTTGGACTCCGAAAGCGTTGCAATACCTTATAGAAGTTGCGCATGGTATAGGATCTACTCATCTCAATCCGTAGGTGACATAAACTGTATCCCAACAAGTCTTTGTTTTTGGCTCAGTCCTTTCAACTTTTATTCAAATTAGCACGTGGAATCGAAAGTCTATCAGTGTTGAAAGGACTTTCAGAGACATGTCAGATCATGACGCGATGTATCTGAAATTACAAGAATTGTCTGCCAAGTTATCTCAAGACATGTTAAAGGAGAAGTTGAAGGTGATGACACAGAACTCCAATCCTGCTGTCGACGTTGAAAGGACTCCTTTTTTGCTGATTGAGGTCGTTGGATTCTGTAGGGACAAGTTGTCACACTCCGTCTTAAATCATCCACCTTTGAATACTGGACTCGTCAAAAAGCATCGCCAAGTGCTATATACTCGGCCAAAGACATTTATGAATGTGCAAAGTGGCTCCTTGCCAAAGAATTGACGGAAGTCAAGAATCTCAAAATCAGGTTGATGGGTGTCTGTATGGCCAAATTGTCATCTCGAGTTGTAACTGGGGCTGGTATTGGCAAATTTCTGATCAAGGATGATGGGCAATCTGCTGTTAGTAATTGCAACAAATACGGGATAAATACTTCATATTCACGCTTGTTTTGTCATATACAGATTGGAAGCATCTCTCCTCAAAAGCGGCCACGTTCTGATATTAGATCTGATGATTCAGAACAATCAGCAGTTGATTCTGATGGGGAAGGAGGAGAATCTCGAAAGAAGGCGCGAGTACTTGATCCAAAAAGTGCATCGTACGGTCCTGGCTCTAGTTTTGTAAGTGATGCATAACTCGTGTCAAGTTTACCGCTTTTGCCTTGGGGTCAAGACTCATCACAGTTAAATTTGGTTTAGGCACGAACAAATAGACCTCGAGTATCATCAGAAGAACCATCTCCTTTAAACAGTGATGCGCAAGAAGGTATCGCTCAAGAATCATCTGCATCTGTGCTCATTGCAGCTTCGAAGCTAGCTATTTGCCCAGTCTGCGAGCAAAGGATTGCTGGTGTTGCTATGGATGATGAGCGAGGTAATGCTTCCAGGTCGAATTTTTGTGACGAGTATACTTACGTGCCCTTCTGTTGCTAGGTATCATTGCTCATGTTGACGTCTGCTTGAATAAAAAAGCCATTCAAGATATTGGTAAAGCAGCTAGTAATAATACTCGAGCAGCTACACCACCACCAAAATCAAAAGGAGCAAAGTCAAACAAGTCTGCGAAATTATTCAGCAACAATCACAAGAAGGGTGGTAGTAGTAAGACCTCCAGAGAACCACAATCATCAAAAGAAGCAAAGTCGACCAGCAGCGATGGCAACAAGCTTAGAAATCCATTTGAATCGGTGAGTTGTTGATGACAGCCAAAAGCGGGGGTCTCCATTACACCTCAATACTCATTCCTCAGATAAAATCTCATATTTCTACCTAGAATCCTCCCTGTACTAGCTTAACTAGCAGTAATAGTACAAGTCACATCATCACGAATCCATATCAGTGTCCCATGTGCATGAAGGACACAAATATCTCGGTGGATGATTTGGCCAGCGTTAATGCGCATTTGGACTCACATTTGTAAAAGTAAAGGAAAAGTCATATAATTTTGTACTTAGCTCAAATCTTGTTTATAAACTCAAATCCTCATTTAGCACATTACTGTATCTAGTCTGATCTTCAATTTCTAGGGTTTTTTTTGGATGATGAGCTCGAGCACATCAGCGGCTCAAAATAGTCTTTTTAAAACCGCTTAGTACACCCGCAATACGCTAGACTACCTGTGTGTCTAAAATAAATTTATGTACTTTGCGAGGTATTGCTATTGTTGTTTATACATGTTATCTCCTGCTCTATGTATCAAAAGTTGAGCAAGTTATCCGTTATGCCCGTGCCGCTATCACCCTTTTCACCACCACCACTATTACTATTACTGCTACTGATACCAACACCCTTCACATCAGACGTTCTCATTGGCGTAACTCCTCTCGGACTAGGGGTAACACTAACTCTGGAGGCTAAAGATGGCGTCACACTACCACCACGAGGCGTTGCAACTTTACTATTCCGAGCCCCTGATGCAACAATAGGACTATAACTAGCCCGTAACTGAGAATCAAATCCAGATCCAACCTTGAAGTTGGACGGTATTGATGGTTTGGCAAACCTAGGCGACGACGTCGATGACGAAGCAACAGAGGACGGTGGTCTCGCTACTCCAACACCATCAATCATACCCCTCGGTCCACGTCTCTTGCTTCTCTTGTCTGCTAGATCGTATCCAAGCTGATCACGTCTCGGCGTTGGATTCATTCTGAATCTCGGGCCGTGAGTACCATCATCAGGTTCCAGTCCCGAGTCAAGTAGTAATGGCGTTGCAGCGACTTCACCCCACGTCATGATTAGCTGTTCGTCATCTAGATCTGCTGGGTTTATTAGTGGCGTTGAGGGCACATATCCAAATCCATTGACTTGTGGAGACGCTGATCCACCCACTGACGGGAAGAGTGCTGGAGTAGCTTTTGCCATTTCACGCCATAAATTATCGGTCTTCAGACGTTCTTGCGAGTTTGTTAGGATTGATGTTGTTGATGGCGCTGGTTGTAGTCTCGTAGCATGATGAGATATAGATTTTACGTTTGTCGAGTTCCGGTCTGTCGATTTAAATGCTGGATCAATCTCTTGAAAGCCTTCTGGGAAGTACATGAGTGCATTTCGAGCCTTGAATTGCTTCCAGCTAGCAATCTGTTTTATATCTGCACTTGGTGTTGTGTCGTCTATATCAATATTGCTGCCACCGATATTACTACTCGTCGTAGCATCATTGCTGCCACCATTGGTGATCAATAGCTGAGGAGCCGATGATTCCAAGACCAGATTCGAGGTATCTTTATCATAAATCCATTTATATCGTTCTCGTTTGGCGTCGTTGCTAGATTCGACGATTTTGGAAAATGAAGCATTGTCTTCAGATGTATACCTAGTGTTGCGATGGGAAAGATTAGATTCGAAGATTTCGGAAAAATGAAGCATTGTCTTCTGATGTATACTTGTTTTGGAAGGCGTCCAGTGAGAGATTCGATGTGATTGTTTGTGTCGTTATTGGATCCGTCACAGCTGATGGCGGTAATGGACCAGCTAGAGGTTGTGCAGGTGTGAATGGAGTCTCACCACCAGGTCTTAAAGGAGTTGCTAGTAGGATATTGATGGGTTAGAAGTTGGATTGTTAGAACATGGTTTAAATAACAGAAGGACAAGCAAAGCTAGTAAAGATACAGATGCAACACAACTATAGCGTACCTCCACCTATAGAACTAGCAGTACTAGCGCCACTATTCACCTTGCCCGTCTTTATTCTGGCAATCTCGACAGCCAGATGTCTAGCTTTTGCTATGTCCCCTTCCTCTATAGCAGCCAGATATCCATTCTGGACTTTGATTTTCTTGAGATCCGGAAAGAAATCTCGTTCGATGATGTTGCTCATTTGTTCGACATAGTCGTCTTCTTCTAGTACGGTTGGTGCTGGTCGTTTCTTGTAATAACTTGATGATGAGGATGTAGTGGCGAGCTGCCTACTATTAGTATCTCGTATTGAGATGACGTTCGATGCGGGGCTGCTATTAGTCGGGTCCATGTTGACTTTCCTATGGTTGGGGGGGCTGACGCTTTTGTCGTGAAAGTTGAGAATTTTTTGGAGTAGGAATCAGTCAAGGAACGACGAGCCACTTGTTTTGCGATACTTTAAACGTGTTGTAGGCACGAAAACCACGTCCCTTTCACTTGGAATGATTGCTGATCGCCGTTGAAATCGAGTAAAGCCGTATGGGCGATGCAATTGTGAGTGACTGGTCTACTATCTGTACTCTCTCCTACCTTGCTACGAATATACAAATGCATGTCAATAGATTTTTTGAGCTCTTTAGCGTTTATACCTCAAAGTTGTAATTGAATCTGCTCTCAAAACTCTCAGATTTCCTTTCAATGTTGAATGTACACCTAAGCACTGAGGCAGACCCATTGAAGAACTGCATCTATCGATTTTAATATGCGCAAAACTTCAATCTCCTCCTTACATTGCGGATAATCCAATTCTTTGGAGTCGAAACTCTGGTTTGCGTAGGGTTGAAACCTCCTCAACCCAACTTGCAAGACTAACTAGTCCAAAGCTCTTCAAAAATGTTTGCATGCTGCTAATTTATTGTGGTATACATAACTGCTTGCTTTTTATTTTGTGGTGCTATCTACAATTACTTGCTCACTCGTACAGTCAGGAGGATGAAGTTGGTGACAAGTGACAAGACCCTCCCATGCACCCAGGCGTGCCATGAGTTCATCATAGGCAAGTTTGAGAGAGGAGTCAAGTGGGTATTGAGGACGCCAAAAGGCAGGTTTGTTGTATAGGTTGACGAGATTGATTGTTACAGGACGATCATCTCTTTTCGTAGGTCCTTTGCAAGTTGATAAATACAGGTTTAGCTTTGACCAAAAACAACTGGCAAATCCCAACGTTCGACATGCATCCTTCTTTGTATATATTAAATTAGGTTTGTTGTTACAGAGAGGATTATTAAAAAAGTATGAAAAAATAATAAGATTTGATACTTCGGCGATTTGCTTGTTTTCAGATTTGGTCTATGGATTACCACGATCAGTTCGTAACTGACTTGCCAACTCATTAGCAGTATTCCACAGCGCCACATAACGTTCATTGTCTCCATTAAGTGGTCTAAAGCGTTCCAAATGTCGCAGTCGATTAGAGTCTCCTTGTTGTTCTGCTTGCAACAAGACTTGTTGCTGAGACGATAAATGAGGACCAGATATAGATGCTCGTAGACTTCGTGGACTCAATGGCTGTTGCTGCGGTTGTCCATTACTACCAATACTAGGATTACTGTTCGTACTATTCGTATGGTGATGATGACCTCGTTTCGAGGATATCCCTACGTCACCGTCCAGCGATGGTTTGGAAGTCAGTTGGCGAGCCATAGAATACGAGAAGGAATCACCACGGGCTGGCAATGCACCAGGTGGTAAATCCAGTGATGGGTTGCTAGGGACATTATTACTATGATTATTAGTGTTGCTTAGGTTCAGCGGTACAGTTCCACGTTCAGCTGCTCTAGCAGCAGCATCCCGTTTAGGTGTTACAGGGGGCATTACTAGAATGCCTTGTGGTTTTGTATTTGCCGTACTACTTGTTTCAGGTAGGGAAGCTCTATTGGCTTCATCACGTCCTCGACTACGACTTCGATCATGGATACTATTAGTTGCATTATTACTATTATTAGGCGGTGATCCTGATCTACGTCTACGTTGTCCTAACTGTAGAGTCGGTGGTGATCCATGTGTCTGCCCTACTGGACTTGTTGGGCCGGAAGAAGAGCCAATCGGCAGGTTCTGTGTTGATACTGCCATAGGTCGTCGAGACGATCCTTCTCCAGTATTACTTCTCACTCTTTGTGGTTCAGATCTCATGGGCATTGCTTCTCCGGTATTGCTTCTCACTCTTTGTGGTTCAGATCTCATCGCTGCTGAATTACCCAAGACTTCATCAGCTACTCGAAGACCAGCTCCAATAGGTGATGTGTTTGAATTTCTGGCTACTGGCACAGGTTCTAAAGGGTGAATTGCATGATGAGTTTAAAGGTCAACACCAAAAAATAGTTGACCGAGTCGAGGAAGGCCTGCAAAACGAAAACAGATTATCGACGTATACACTGCTGAAAGGCCGACGTACCAGTCGTACGACCACGAGACTGCCCTTGCATCGGCGACAATTGCTTTACAGGTGACGGATGACGATGCGGGGTAGCAGAATCAGGTGGCGCCAGATTATTACTATTATGAGACTGCGTTGAGTTCGATCGATGAGGCGGATTCAACAATAATCCATCATCCGAAAGCATCACTATATCAGGAGCCTGTTGTTGGCGGTTATATCTTCGATCATCACGCTCATCACCTTGTCGTTGTGGAGATAAAGCCCGCTGATGACTGCTACTATTAGTGCCCCAGTTCTGCTGTTGCTGCTGCTGAGGTGGTGTTGATCCCATCTTGTATGACTTTTTATAATTACTTCCATTACTATTCTGACCGTCTAATCCAAAATCACGATCTCTAGATCGTCCTCTAGTTCGTTCCAAACTTCGCCGGTCCAAACTTCTTCGTTCAGGAGTGGCTTGTTGTTGGGACTGTTGGCGTACTATAGCACGGCCATTTGATGGATTCAGCATCTCATCACGAGAAACTCTAGCATTAGATGTAGTACCCACATCATCAAACTCAGGTTTCTTCTTACGGCCTAATGACGACAAGTTTCCAAACCATCCACCAGCAGAGGAGGATTGTTGCTGTTGGGGTTGATTACGTCGAGGTATCGGTAGAGCTGGATATCCAATGAATGGGGACGGCATACGACCGTTCTTGTCCAGTTGAGACAAGAGAGTCGACATCCATACGTTTCGTTGTTCTGGATTAAAGGCTGTGATGACAATGTGTTGTAGTGTTCCATAAAAGTCGACATAGTTAATATGCAGTGACAATCGAAAGTCTAATTGGTTTGGTGGAATACGTATTTTGGTTAGCTTAATCCTCCCTTGCAAGAGTCAAAGAAACAAAACATGACAAAAAGTCCAGCGACGATTAAGCCTCATGGTGTCCTCGCAACTCTTCATTGTGCACTCTACAACACAACCATTGGCTACGTGTCTCTTTCAGAACTAAACCCCAAACTCACCATCTTCATATACATTAACAACACCAGGTGCATTGTTGGCAACCGGCATACACCATCCAACAGCCTCCACAACACGTAACGATTTCGCGTTACCACGTCCCGATCCACCATTATTAGACCTTGAGACAGTCATAATAACAATAAGAGCCTTCTCAAACAGGTAGAAGCCTCTCTCCTTGTCATCAGTGTACATATTTCCCTCCAACACTAGGTCTCCTAATGTTTCTAGCGGAGGACCTTCCCATGAATCCAATCGTGAAAAGAGATAACGCGTAGCTTGGCGTGATTCTATTAGTCTACGAGCAGCATCGATTTGTTGGAGGGATGACAAGTAGGCCGAATTTGCTTTTTGGGTATAAGGATAATCTGCATGTGTTTCTGGTGTTAATTGGACCAGGTCCTAAGGGTCACAAATAGGTGAGGATGCAGTGAACGGCCATGAGCATTGCAGATAAGGGTGTTCGAGGCTGTTTTTTAGCCCGTTAAACTTACCCGTAGCAACACCGTATATCGAGTCTTTCGTTGCACAGGCCTATGCAGGAAGGCAACCAGCTGAAGGATATAAGGCTGCGAGCTTGATCCGCATATCGTAGTATGCTCCAAGAATCGTGTCATTGAAGCTGAATTTGCATAAGTATTTGCAACCGCCACAGCTCGTGGCAAATGCTCAGCATATTCAATATGAATGGTGGTATATCTTTCATTCTAAGGTATGGCAAGCAACTTTGTTAGGAGCAAAACATGGGTGGTGTTGCAGAATGCACACTTACAAGTCTGAGTAAAAGTTTGGCTATTAATTGAGATTCTCTAGATGCCTGCATCGTAATCTCTAATTCCCGGACCAATTCGATTTGGTAATCAATGAGTTCGCGAAGGTTTCCAAATATTAAATGATGGTGGTCAGTTGGAAACCATTCACATATTTGTAGAGGAGAAAATACTTGCTGTACACCCCCAAGAAAAAACACTTGATTAGATATTTCCGAATGTTGAAATGATAGTCAACAGAATGGATAACTGATTTAAGCTCCTACCTCTACAAAAGCATGTAGAGCGTTTAAGAATGCCTTTTCTCCTCTAAAGTATTCTGAAACGGCTCTTAATCGAGCATTCTTGACATCGGATTGAGCGTGACCAGCACTGACTCCGCCTACACTACCATTTCTTGGCGACAATGATTCCTGTTGCTGTTGTTGTGCTTCTTCTTCATCATCTGTATGCAATTCCACAGGTCCCGAGCTCTTGTTCATCATAATGTTGCGTTGTCTTAACTCGTTGACTTGGTCGGATGTGTTTACGAAAGGACCGAAATTGGCTAGATCCTGTGCTGTTCTATTTTCAGTAAGTAAACTTGTGTGGTTCTCGGGAAACCATCCGACTCGATCTCGTAACTGGCCCTCTGACCATCCACCATCTACTCGACGAACAATTCTAATAATCTCGCCTGATTAAAAAAGGGAATAGTTTGAGCGATCAAATATAATTGAATGGTCAAACGAAGCGAATCGACGTGAGAGACCAGACCAAACCAATTAATTATTTGGTATATTTGGTATCATGGCATCAAGGGACTCGGACACAATTCAAGTATTGCCACCGACAAGGTTGTCAAAAGCTTGTGTGCACATGCAAGGGGTTTTTGTGACTGAAGCTTACACGTACCTTCGACAAAGGGGAGTTCATCTACCCGTTGAGGAGAATATGGATATGTAGTACGTCTCAATACAGGATTGCTCGGATCAGCCAGATAGTCGTCTTCAGACACTGGGTGGTGCGGCTCAGTGGGAGAATGTGCATTATCAGAGCCGGAAAGCGGATTTTCTAGTTTTCCAGGGCTTGCATAGGCGCTGTCTGTTCTTGGAGAGGAAGAGCTACTCCTGGAGGTTTGTGATGAATGGTGGTTTTCGAAAACCTCGTTGGCAAATGTAACACTTGGGGTGTGCAGATCTGTTGGCGAGGAAGGAGGAGAGGCTACTGGGATTGGAAGCTTTGGAGTCTGTATATTGGAGGGAGCAGCGGCGTTGGGTTTTTGTTGGGGAAGCTTTCGCCGTTTTATGGAAGAGGTTGACTGCGAGTTGCGGACAGGAGTTTTGGGTCCATTGTAGCCTCGTGGCGTTATAGGCCTATCCCATACTCCCAAGTCTTGGGAGCTTCCTGAGGGTTCCCCACTCATTGTTGCTTTGTTATCTCATCTGTGGGTGGTTAATTGATATTTGGTGGCAAAGTGACGTTGAGAGTCGATACCAAAGCCGGTTGATCAAACGTTCGGACTGTCAGGCAGATATAGCATACAGCACAATAATATTCGTTAGCTACTGATTAACCACTAGAATTGTCGCTGATTTCCTGATCAAGGCACATGGAAAAGGACCGAAAGTGGCAAACTTTTAAAATACCAATTCCATAGATCCATGTATCACCAGAGTCCATTGAGGAATACATTCAGACCAGATATCAAATTCGTTCAAAAGGACCTTTGTATGAGATGGCCGTGAGGCTGTGTGTATTCCCAATGTCCAGCTTGTCCATTTTTTGGTCCGAGACTATAGGAACACGTTTGAGCGTTGATATCACGTTATAATATGCTCCATTCGCGTTAAGCTGCAGTGTTTTGAGCAGCAGCTTTCATTTTATTTTCTATTCCTTTAAAACTACAACCGTGTCACTATAAATGAGACTACTACAACTACTATCAAAACACGTCCCCGTGTCTCATACGAGCTGTTAGCTGCAGCCCCACACCCTTCATGATAGCAAACCCAATGCAGCTTTGTTTCCCAATTTTTCATAACATCCAAAAACTTTAAAAGCAACTGAAGTTTAAGAAAAAAACAACAAGGTAAGCTTTGTCACTCGGAATCATCGATTTATCATGCATTTTTCATATGTCATCTACCTGCCCTGTTATGGCAAAAAACTGAAATTTGCCCACCTGCCCGTTGCTTTTTTTGACCACACGTTTTTTGGCAGCAAGCAACACCCCGACCTGACTCTTATCCATCACTAACAGTACTTCATTTATTTCCATCAATCATTTGACATTCTTTCTCTCTCTAAAATGCCCCTCTTACGCTCCATTCTGCATGCATCGTCGCGACTCCCATCTACATCAATAACGATGCAATCATCACATCGTTTTGCAGCTACAATGGCTCTTCCACGTGTATACTTCGACTTGTCTGCTGGCGGAAAGCCTGTCGGTCGTGTCGTCATGGAAGTACGTATATGCTAGCACTGGCATGGTAGGCCACCATCCATCTGGCTTGCTGACACATTGCATCTTCTTTAGCTCCGTTCCGACGTCGTCCCCCGCACTGGTAAGATAAATCAATTTCAATCGCTTTGCAAACGAAATCGATGCTCATCAGACTCATTCCTATAGCTGAGAACTTCCGTGCCTTGTGCACCGGCGAGAAAGGGTAAAACGATCGGTCACTCGTCGAATGGATGTCGTCAGGGGTCTAAACACTTTTGCAACACTCTCTTAGTTTTGGATTTGCCGGTTCCAGCTTCCACCGAGTTATCCCTCAATTTATGTACGTGGCCCACAAAAATATGCATGTTGCTGGTTTATGTGCTCCATGGAACTCACATTCATTTTCCCAACATATCCATAGGTGTCAAGGTGGTGACTTTACAAACCACAATGGCACTGGTGGCAAATCCATCTATGGAGAAAAGTTCGCTGACGAAAACTTCCAATTGGTATGTATCGCACCCGCATTGGCAACTTGCTTCACCGCATGTAGCATGGATATTAACCATCTCAAACATCACATTTCTACTAGAAACACACCAGTAAGAACATTGGAACTTTGCAGTCATTGAAGGCTTCTGAAACTCATCATACGGCGATTTATTAGAGCCTGGTATCTTATCCATGGCAAATGCTGGTCCAAACACCAACGGTTCTCAATTCTTGTAAGTTTGAAGACGTTATGAAAGTGTCGCAGCTATTCTCCCAAGTCTCACAATACTCACATACCCACCCAAAATTTAGCATCTGTACGGCCAAGACTGCTTGGCTCGATGGAAAGCACGTCGTTTTCGGAGAAGTCGTTGAAGGTAAGTCACCTTTATGTTGTTTTGAGGTGCATTCTGTACTCACTGTTGATTTCACACTAGGCATGGATGTCATTCAAAAGGTTGAAAGCTTCGGCTCTCAATCAGGAAAGACCTCCGCCAAGATCGTCGTAGACAAGTGCGGACAGTTGTAAGCTGACTGCGTGTTGTCCACCTCAAAAAAGAAGACTTTTGCTGAGCATTTTATCAAGGCGTTCGAGTAAGAAAAGAAATATAAATGATTTTGCCCCCTTACTACTTGCGTCAGTTCAAGCGTTTCTGAAAAGTGGGGATGAGCTGTGTTGCATCCCGTCCTTGCTATAAGCTCAAAAGCCAAGAAACAAAAGTTGTATTCAACTCGCAACTAAGCGACAAAATGCCCCAATGAGGAAGAAGCCACCAGCTCGGAAGCCCGTAGAACCAACAGTATTGGATGACTCTGTTGTTGAAATGATTGATGCAGCTCGTGCAAAGCAACAACTTTAACATACTTCAAAACCAACAATTCCTAAAAATGCCACAAATCATCAGTGACTTTGGGGAAGACGATGAAGGAGAAGAACACTTTGTAGTAATTCCACGTACAGCTTCGGCTCCAGTCGCAGCCCAAACGACTCCTCAACCCAGACGGCGACAAGAACTGAAGATCGTATTGGGAGCGCCACGAAATACAGGATGCAACTTGTTGGAAAGCCCATAAATCTGTGGATTTCAGTTCCTGCCGAGAGTTATATGCAGGTGACCATCCTGTCTCTCCGAACAAGGATATGTCTCGTCAAAACGAACTTTGTCAAGCATTATTGGGCCACGTCTTCCAAACCATTCCCATGTTCGCGGTATCGGTCCGACAGTGACAGAATTGACATGCTTCCTTCATGGGTTTCCCTGTTTTTTGGTCTGACGACTCTCTATGACGTGACAACCGTGTTTTTATGTCTGGAAGTTCCTTGGGCGCCCCCTTTACACAATGAGTATGATGAAGGGTATAACAATGGTACCGCTGAGCCTGATTTGTCGGTCAAGCAGGCGCTATAGGCTGGTTCCAATCTCGTTGACAAAACGACGCTTAACTGCTATTTTCGCAGGATCCATTTGTGGATGAACCTGTCTCAATGGTGGATGCTACTGCCGCGTTGAGCAACTGCTTTAACATTCCTCCTTCTTATGAAAGAATATGATTCATCAACTTTTTGGAAACGTTGCTCGCTGTGGTAAGGCACATCATCTGCGATGTGCGGTACCTACAATAGTATTCCAATGCTCCATGTACTTATTTGTCGTTGTGACCAGTCAACGAAGGTACAGGCTGCATAAATTCTAGAATTTGGCGAACTTCCATTTTCTATGAATTGAAACTGGATCCGTAGAACACAACGGCATTGAATGCATTCGGAAAACGTTTATGTTAGGTCGTATTGGAATGGGTACATGATTCTTTAATGCTTACTCCATTTTCACCAGAATGAAAATCAGCATCATTTCTTTTCCGTCAATTGCTTGGTAACTTGGTCTTCTGCCATTTGTTTGACGTCATTGGGTGACATTCCAAATTCATTCGCAATGCTAACTATATCATTCCAATCAGAAGCACCACTGGCCATCTCTGTCACTGCGTGGCCAACTCCTGGAAGAACAAAGTCAAACACTGCAGATACCCCATGTCCGACAGCCCGCTTCTTGATTGCATTGCCTGCAAATTGAGCTAATCGGTCAGCAAGTCGTCGCGCTTTGTCGCCATCCTAATTGGCAAAACACAACAGGTTAAATCAAATGTGGTTTGAGGACTTAGAAAATGTTCGACTGACCATTATCAAGTAACTGTATTTTATTGAGAATTCCGAGACCTCTGGTTTGGATTGTAGTACCTTCTGGCAACGTGCGATTGTTTAAAAGACTCTATGAGATTGGTTGAAATCCCTAAACGGAGAAGATTTCCCATGAGCCTCAAAGTCCATATCGGTACGTAAAGCCCCCGACTGAGAATACACTGCATAGTACCTTTTTGACTGTTTTGACTAGATTGATTGCTTTGCAAGTAGCCTTATTCAACCACCAAAATCGAACGCCTTCAAAGCCTGACAAAGCTCCGTTGCTTTTAAGGTGATTTGTAAGGGAGAAGTGTGAAGATTAAACAATCAAATTTGAATCCTTTATCAGTCACTTTAAAAAGCACGAATCTCGTCGTCCTACTATAGACGATGTTATCATTCCTCAAACGATGCTTCAACATATGTTAGAAATCAACACGAGTGCAGTTAGGTTGGGTTTGGTTTGTAAATCTTGCTCAAATCACGAGGGAATCATTGGATGCTGGCAATAGAGAGCAGTAGGGTGAAATAGGAGTATCAAAGGAGGCTTGTATAAAACGTTAAGTGAAGTAAAGAGCACCATATATTGCATTGAAGTGAGGTTTGAAGTTTTTGGTTACAGGAAACGCGTTGAAAATGAATGTCCACATATATATATAAATATCGTACTAGTCTGGCTGGGCGGAAAGAACACGCCCACACGAAGGACTACTGGGTTCAATTGGTACCAACTTTTCTGCCTTTGACTGGTTTACAGCGGATCGTACAATGGTTAAAATATATACAAGCTTCTCCCCGTGTCAACTACACTGTGCGATATACGAACTTTGCTCTCCTTACTCTTCTTCTTTTGTGACGAAACACAAAACAAGACAAACCTCTGTAAAGTTCAATAATATCTACTTCTCATCGTGGACAGTACTAGCTCCACACGTAAGTACAACATCTTGTCAGCTGTATGCTCTTCTCCCTTTATATTGTTTTTCCCAAGTAACTTTTGTCAACTTTGCAAAAAACCTAGGATGTTGAACATTACTAGAGTTGGGACGCGACTGGCCAGGTCAGCACGTTCATTCACATCGACCGTGCCCCGTCGCGCCGAGATAGAAGTCTTTGTTGATGGACGCAGTGTCAAGATTGAATCTGGGTCGGCATTGATTCAAGCGTGTGAAAAGGTATGGACTATGTGATAGCAGACATACAACGATAAACTATCAGCTATCTATTCCGGCTCTATTTACTGGTCTCTGATGCACCATATTCTTATGCTTTTAGGCGGGAGTTGACATTCCTCGATTCTGTTACCATGAACGACTATCTGTAGCTGGAAACTGGTATGAGCTCACTTGTTAGTTTGCAACACAACAAGACTGGATATTTACAAATCTGTATCTATTCCCTAGTCGTATGTGTCTGGTAGAAGTTGAAAAGTCACCTAAACCTGTCGCATCTTGTGCTATGCCTGCAATGCCCGGAATGAAGGTCAAGACCAATACCCCAATGGTAATTTTTGAAAACAGGCATAATATCTTATTATCCCTCAAACCCTGTACAGCTACTCAAGTCTCTATTCCTTCTAGGTCAAGAAGGCAAGAGAAGGTGTCATGGAATTTTTATTGGCAAACCATCCTTTGGATTGTCCTGTCTGTGACCAAGGTGGTGAATGCGACTTGCAAGATCAATCGGTACGATACGGATCCGACAGATCCAGATTCGTCGAACCTCTCGGTAAACGAGCTGTCGAAGATAAAGACTTGGGTCCACTCGTTAAAACGATCATGACAAGGTGCATTCATTGTACCCGTTGTGTCCGATTCTCAAATGAAGTAGCTGGTGCTACCGAAATGGGATCAAGCGGTCGTGGTAATGACATCCAAATTGGTACCTATATCGAAAAGACGCTAAACACTGAAATGTCGGGAAACATTGTGGACTTGTGTCCTGTCGGTGCATTGACTTCCAAACCTTATGCGTTTACTTCTCGACCGTGGGAATTGAAAAAGACAGAATCCATTGATGTATTAGATGCCGTTGGAAGTAACATTCGTGTAGATTCACGAGGTGTAGAAGTCATGAGAGTACTACCTCGTTTGAATGATAGCATTAACGAAGAATGGATTGCTGACAAGACACGATTTGCATATGATGGATTGAAACGACAACGATTGACTACACCACTTGTACGTAAAGGTGACGAGTTTGTACCCGTCAGCTGGCCTGAAGCCATGACCAAGATATCCGAAGCCATGAGTAAAGTAGAAGGTAGCGAAATGATGGGTGTAGCAGGTCAATTAGCCGATGCTGAATCAATGGTCGCCTTAAAGGACTTGTTGAACAAACTAGGTTGTGAAAATCTACGATTGGACGCTACCAATTTTGAAAAGTTGCCTACAGGATTTACAGATTTACGATCTAGCTATCTCTTCAACACCACCATTGAAAAAGTCGACGAAATCGATGCTCTATTATTAGTAGGCACCAACCCACGACACGAAGCTCCCATCGTAAACGCCCGTATTCGTAAAGCGTGGTTAAATAATGAACTTGAAGTAGGTATTGTAGGTGCTGCTCCCAAACTCAATTATGAATTCGATCATGTGTCTGAAGATCCATCTGGATTGGAGGCCTTGATAAATGGTAATCACGCATTCTTTGAGAAATTATCAAAGGCAAAGAAACCAATGATTATGGTCGGATCTGCTATATTGGAACGTGAAGACGCTGCTTCTATACTGGCTCAAGTAGCTTTGCTGACTCAAAAGCTGAAGGCAAACATGTTGACCAAGGAATGGAATGGTTTGGCCTTCCTTCAACGAGTAAGTTAATCAGGTTACCCAAAACAACAACTTCACATTTGTAATAAATTACAGTCTATGGACTTTGTATTCCAACTATCATCTCATTTATATTAACATCCCTCGAATATACATTAGGCTGCAAGTTACACTGCTGCGTTGGATATTGGCTTCCAACCATCTGGAAGCGTATCGTCTTCACCTAAATTCATCTATCTCTTGAATGCTGACGAGATTGTTGCCTCTGATATCCCCAAGGACGCATTTGTAGTATACCAGGGCCACCACGGTGACAATGGAGCATACTATGCAGATGTCATCTTACCAGGATCAGCGTATACCGAAAAGAGCACGACCTTTGTAAACACTGAAGGTCGAACTCAAACTACTAGAGCAGCTGTACCACCACCATCAGGTGCTCGTGATGATTGGAAGATTGTCAGAGCCCTATCTGAAGTTGTAGGCGTACCATTACCATATGATAGTATATCAGAAGTTAGAGATAGAATGGGTGATGTTGCTCCTGGACTGGTGACTTATGATGTGACTCAATCCTCTGTCTTTACTGCTCTTGCCCTCAAACAAATGTTGGCTGCTGCAAAATCTAGTCCAAGTAATGGTATGACTGCTCCAGCTTTGGAATTGCCAATCAAGGACTACTATTTGACGGATCCTATCTCGAGAGCTTCAGTTACCATGGCTAAATGCTCGCAGGTAAAAAGCGATAAGCGAAATTTGTAGTAATGAATGCTGCTTGAGAATGAATGCTGACCATACATATCTTTTAGGCATTCACCCATCAAAACTATAAACCAAAATATAGTTCTCAATGGGCCATAGCTGTGTAATCTTGACGAACGATTCCCCTTTACTCTCCAAATATACTCTAACATTTGAAAGACCACAGACATTTTCGAGAAGACCAACGATTTATTAAGAAACTCGAGTACAAATCTAAACGTTTTTTTACAACTTTGCTATGTCCAGCACAACAAGCAAACTCATGAACTATGAAATGGGGGCATCGTTTTTTCAAATCTTGTGTTGAAATGAGGGTGGAATCTCCTTTTAAATCTTATCGACACGAATATCAGCATAAGCCTCCTCTTGAGAAGCACTGACAATGTTTCGATTGGCCAACGTGAGAACTAGTCAAAGAAACAATTTGAATCATGAGATACCCTGCGTTTTGTTCCCCCCTCTCGAGATGTAGTTCACCATGGTAGAAGGCACGAGAAGCAGCAGCACGAGAAGAAATTTGTTTTGGAACCAGATCAAAGAAAAAAACATGGTCTGTTTGAGCACCTTTCATGATTCCAAGTGCATAACTAGAAGGGAGAAAAAAAATTATTTATTTATTACACCAGCCCATCATGTTTGCACACTTTGCAACATCCTCACCACAATTGTATTTACATACCTCAAGAAGGCTTCACTATCCTTTTCCAACACAGCATTCCCTTTGAATTGATGACCGTCTGTTTCACCATCCTTGGATGTTTCATCAACTGTGGATGAAAGAGTGACAAACCAGAAGTAATTTTTCGTTCTGCAACGTGGTCCGAGCGGCACAATCATGCGATACCTGGAAAGAAGATCCCACCAGCATCATCATCGCCCATAGGCAAATCACCCAAAGGTGAGAAACGATCGTGGAAGGGAGGGAATACGCCAGAGCTAAAACAAGCGTTGAGTCAGAGGTCAAATAGAGCTTTACAGCTTCGACACAAGGCAATGATACAATTGCACCTCTTTCGACGACTACCAAATCGTTCAGGCGTCTCTTCCAATGTGTTGAACGATGCAGATGGCTGTCCAGCGCCAGTGGCACCACCAAATCCACCCATCAAGTTGCCACCACCACCACCACCACCACCAATACCTGTTACAGATGATCCTGCGCCTGATCCAACACGAGAGTTTGCTAGTCCTTGTTGTTGCTGTTGCCAAGAGAAGGCATCAACTCGTCCAGACTGAGGAGTTGGTGGACGCTCACGACCCATTTCCATTTCTGGGTCCTTAAAATGTGCGTTTGCGAGGTAAGTATGACGGTTCACCAGTGGTACCAAAAACATTGGTAGGAGAGGGTGGATGAAGCAGCTCACCTCACTTTCAGCAAATAATTGATCACCATGTTCATAGTCTTGAGCGTCAGGCATCGAATAGTCACCACCTCCAGCGTCTAAATGGTTTGGTAACGTCAGACATGAATGCGTCGGTGTGAATAAACGAAAAAAGAAAAAGCAAGGGTGGTTTATTCTCTACCAGATCGATATTCCGAATTAGAAGCAGAGCCGTTTCCTTGTTCGCTTGAGAAGTGTGTAGCAGGACGTGTTTCCAAGAGTGCTTGAGGAGGAAATTGAGTTGGGATGACACCCCATCGTCGACGACGATTGATTAGTTGATAAAAGTCAATAAGTTGTGGAGCCAACACTACAAAATAGGACTTCTGTGAGTTCTTGGTACTTTTTTTTTGATGACATTTTTGTTCTTTTGCAAAGGCATTCAAACATACTGAGAATTGGCTTTGTCAACATTTTGTGAACGAGCTTACGCTGGACTTCGTCTCGTTCCTATTTCAAAGATTGGGTCAGACGTTGTGCAAAAAACTATATAGATCATAGCATATCAACTCATGTCTTAACTCGTTGTTGCAGCTGATTCCATTCCTCAGTTTCTGCAACATTAGAAGACTGAATCATAACTCTCATTTCTTGATCAGTCAATGCAATACGTTCATCAATCAAAAGGCTTTTCTTTTTATTGTTTTGGCGTTTCCTTGTTTCTTGTGATAGTTGGTCTACTTCTCCATAGGTTTCATCATCCTCGTAGCGACGACGAGTTGTTTTACCCTTCGTCTTGGTATGCTTTTTCTTCTTATTTTTGTCGGTATTAGCAGCTTCTTCGAAAAAGAAGGGAGAGTCATCTTGTGGTTGGTCTCCTTCTCTTTCATTGCACCATTCTTGATGAGATGCATGTGATGAAGGTTGGTTTGGTGGTGAGCCAAGAAAGTTCATGGGCTGATTTCCATCATCTTGATCCATGGCTAGATAGTCATCTTCCATGACTTGATTTGAAGCATGACATTGTAGCTGTTCGTCTTCATATTCTTCGTCTTCATTGACAATCTTGCGAAGCTGGCAGAGCCAACAAAACAAAAACGTCATAAGTGGTGTGAATACGCGAAGATATCGATGGTTTGTTACCTCACGTTTGCGTTTAGGTTTGGCAGCTTCCGCATGATCTCGACGAACTTCATCTGCCATGTCTGAATCACGACCCAAGATTGAAGTTGCACGACTTTGTAGAAGTGCATCGTCTGGAAAACCAAGATCAAGGCCAATATCCATACTACTATCATCAAAGAACTGATCACTAATTAATATAAGCGAGGGGGTATATCAGAGACGTGAACAGTTTACATTTGAGAACGACGCCGAACAAAAAGCGCTTCTACTTGGAGACAAGGTCTTTCAACACAATCCGACACTTGCCCTGGATGACGACTCCATGCATCAGGAGTATCATCTAACAGACTTCGTTCTTTCAACGTGATGGAGTCCTTTGCAACAGATTTTACCACACGACTCCTCTTAGCAGATTGTGGATCTCCGGTGACAGAGCTAGGTGATTTTCCAGTTGCTCTTTTCTCACCTATATAGTAGGCAACTAAGAAGCGGCTTTTTTGTAGCAGCGAATGAAAAGATTGCAACTGAGAACACACCTTCATGAAGAGTAGACTGGGATCCTAGAAGTGATAAAGGTCCAGCATGTTCAAGATCTTCATTCCAAAGCCAATCCATGCCTTGTTCTCTATTCTAAGATAGTGTCTCGTCAAACAATGGCGCAAAAAATGCTTTTTTGATTCGCTGCAATACCAGGTCAAACGGTCCTCCTGGTCCGAACGCATCAGGGTTGATGGGCACTGTTATGTTCTCAGGTCTATGAACAAAGTAGAGGTTAGGAATATCTATCCAATGGTTACTTTTGAAGACTTGTAGCATGGCCTACCTTGCTTCAGCGATAGGCATGTCAATATTCACTTCTTTGACGCTCTTGGATCCGTATGCTTTGCGTATAGCCAGAAACACATGATTGACATCAGCTATTCAATTGGAAGGTAATCAGTGATGATAAATACGAAAGCAAAAAGGCGTAAGTCTCGTCAAAGAATACCAAGATAAAACTGCCACTGTTGAGAATACACTCGAGCTACGCCGACCAAGAGATTTGATCTAGTTTGACTAGAGTAAAACACAGCTTTCAAACGGAATAATACCCCAGAAACGTACGTCATGCGCAGGGCAAGAGGTTCAGGAGGCGTATCCAGAAATTCACTAAAAGATCAAAGATGGCGTCAACATCAATAATTAATCAAGATTTGGTCCTTCTTACCAAGCTTTAGGAATCTCTACAGCATTGTAATCCTTCTTGGTCAGCCTCTTGAGTGATCCACGAGGTCCAAGAGTTGCTGCCAACTAGAGTTACATATTGAATGAAGTATAGTCCCGTGCTAATTTTGAAGAGGGTATGTCGTGGAGCAAAAATGCTGAATTTCGAAATCACCGAAGACTTATGACTCGGTCAACGGTCAACACGAGTCAGTGACGTGGCGTTGCTGAAACATGTTGGTCAGGATAGAAAAGAAACGAAATGATACAAATTGATCAAATGATCGACATTGGATCATCTTTTTCAACACGGCGCCTTGCAAGTGTACACCAACGATACATTCAACAGTTTGATGTCAACAGAAGTTCGAGAGCTTTGGTTGACTGAGATCAAGTGCAATTGCAACATTCAGATTCAAATTAAATCAAAGGAAATCAAGCTTGAATCAGCTCGTCCACCGCCCAGATCCAGCACCATGCTCCAAAACACAAACCAAGCTTCACACAGATACCACATTCCAAAACAAGGACAGACTCAAAAAATCCGATTGATCGTACCCAGATAGTAGCCATACTCGTCCTCCTCGACGTAAAGATGTCGCTGGCCCAGAATACCATTTTTCTTCAGTTTGTCTTGGAGTCTTGGAAGTTGACTATCGCGACGTGCATGGTATTTGGGACCAGGTGTACTTATCGAGTACTCAGAAATGTCAGAAATGATTCAACGCCGTCGAAACACGTGCAAGAAAGCAGCTGTATGGTCAACACCAACAGCTTGCGACTAGATCGGCCTCGAGCGATGAGAGCCGTTGCCCTTTAAGCGTGTTAGTGAAGCAGTCCAATACGTGTATATTTTCGATTCCGATATAAACGCGTTAAATTAGTGAAAACTGGAATTTGTACAGGTAACGACTTGAATCACGGTTTCAGCAGCCTCAGTTCTTCCATCTTGGACGTGTTGAACGTATTCTTACACAGTTCCAACATGTAAATTACGTGGATATACGTATTCTCAACGTGATACTCTTGTTCGTTGTGACTTCCTCACACCTTGAACAATCACTTTGTCAAATCCGATGAATAGTCATGACAACATGGCCTTTTGTGCGCCAAAAGAGGAAGTGGATTTGGGTATTCAGCCTCTGAGATCTTCTATTAGTGCTAATCCTGTAATCACGGGTCTGAGCAATGATGAAGCTCGAATGTAATTTACAGTGTTGTGTTTGCAATGATCCAACTTCTCAAACTGTCTATTTCGCCATAGATCCTTACTTCACGAAGCTGAGAAAGTGCTGATTGAACAGCATCCTCGTGTCTCTTTAACTCCTGGTCAGTTTCAGGCTGATTGGTCCAAACATCAGAAAACATCGACCAAAAGTTGCTACCAAATCTAACTTTGAACAAGGAAAGCTCAAATGAATCAAATCTCATAGCTGTCATTGGATATTTGTTACGGCCAGAGAATATCGTCACGTATCTCAGCATCCTGGGACTATTAGCCGACTTTATCTGCTCAAGAGTGTCTGGATCAACCTATGTCAGTCGTGATGCTGCCATCCTCGTAGAAGCTGTATTATTAGCAGTCGTCGCAACCTGGAATCTATACATGTGGTCACGAGAATTGCATCTCACAGTCTTGGAAATGAGAACTAGAGTGCAACGACTCTTGGACCAACTGAATATGTTTAGCCTTTCTCAGAAACAGGTATTCGCAGGTTCTTGCATGAGACCCGAATGTTAGACTTGATGTCTAACAATGATTTGCTCCTCGTGAACTTTGTAGGAGATGAAGATACCAACACATATTCCTACTGTAGCCTTGGTTCGAGTGTATCGAAGTAAAATGTGGCAAAATCACCCTACAGGCTTACTAGTACAGGGAGATGTCATTCAGTTATCATTAGGGGATACAACTCCCTGTAAACTTCAACTCTTACAACCAGTTTCAAACGGCTGGGTGTTGGAAAAGTTTATTCTATATCGAAACGTAATGTTGACTCCCAAAGTCCTCGAATCTCCTGACGAAGATGAAGCCGAAATAGATCCTGAAAGCCCTATAAAAGCATGGCCACCGAACGAAGGTGGAACTACTGCTGGACAATACTATTTTAAGGTACTCGAAACACATATAGGCGACACACTTAAAGCTGCTCTACTAATACGACGACCTGAAACCATCATTGTACGGCAATTACAAATGCTGGGTAATTTATTCTCTCGATATATTGTATGGGTCATGATCCTGATTCCCTTCATCATCAATCTGGCTCGATTCCTTATACGGACGGATGCATACGAGGGTCCAAGATACGCCCTCGCTGTACAAATGTTGATTACATTACAAGTATATGTACTGTTACCGCTTCTACCATTGTCGATACCGACTTTGGCTATTGCTGCTCGTAGTTACGGAAATGCTCAAATCTTGTCCTTGTTTGATGCCTTGCAAACCTCCAAGGCGGAATTCAAGGATGATGAAGATGTTGATGAGTTTGATATTGCTCCGCCACCTACAAAGGATATTCATCTAGATCCTCGTAAGTAAATTTAGAGCTTGTTGTCATGACTTATCGTTCCTGATGTCGTTTTTTTCTTCGTTTAGGTGTGGTGTGGAAGAAATTCCTTGCTCAAATGACAGATATTGATGTTGGATCATTGGCAAGGACTACCGGACTGGTTGAGTCTTTGGCTAGTACAACCGTTATATGTGCTCTTGATCGGGAGGGTACAATTGCATCGGTAGGTTCATTGCAATCAAATCCCAAGATTCACTCCTCATTGTTGTTTAACTCGGCGACATTTTATAGCCCATCCCGTCTGTAGAACAACTCTTCTTCTTAGACCAAGAGGGAGAGCCTGTAGTCATTGATGTGATCGAAGATCAGAATGAAGCTCATGGCATTTACTTTGAGGATAGAGATTGGGAGAAACACATAAAGTATGCATTCTAGTTCACGTTTCCCCTCTATTTTGCGCTTACATGCTTTATAGATTACTGAAGCCCTTGGGTCTGGAGACATTGTTAAACACAGATTGTACAGTCTTTCAAGGAAGGAAACGGAATGATAATCATCGGAAGTCCAATAACATGCATCTACATGGGCGTGTGCAACCAGCTCGACAGAGTATATCTTCTCCCGCTTCTCTCTTTTTGGTAATCTCGTTTGGCAGCTAACACAACTCAATTTTGGACTTTTCTAGCATGTTTGTGTCGAATTGGACGTGAAATTGGATTTATTGATGATGCTCTCAAGTCATTCGTGTCTCGCAAAATCATTCAAACATTTGCTCCGCTTCATCCGAGTGTCTCACAAACTGAGGCACTCTATCATTTCGAGATACCGAGCATGTACTCTCAAGTGTTTGAAGAGACCAACTCTGGTAATTATTTGATATTGACCCTTCGATGTCAGTTGTGAAGCCCAAAGAAGAAAGAGGTTCTTATTAGAAAACCCCTTTGTAGGTACGTTGCAACTCTTTTCAGATGGCACATGGGATCTAGTTCTCGATCTATGTGGTGAATACTGGAATGGAAAGACTTTGGAACTCATGACTGAGAGTGTAAAGCCGAATGTCTCCCGCTCTTTTTGTTACTTCTTACTGACCGGGAATATTCTATATAGATCGAGGAAGAAATCAACGAGTTCGCTCAAAAGTGCAGTATCGGTGATATGCAAGTCGTTGCATATGCATACCGACCTGTACTCAAGTTACCGGAGAATGTCACTGGCAATACTCTATTAGACGGTGACTTGGTCTACATTGAACTTGGTGATTCAACAGAAGATCACCTCCACGCCAGCGAATCTGGTCGAATATCACCACCACATCTACTCTCACCAATTACATCTAGCACTGGCAATGGCGTTCCAGTGGATTTAAATGGAGCACAACGACCATCTATATCCTCACTTGATCAGCAAACGCAGTCGATTATAAGCCGTTCTAAAGATTACAGTGCTGGACATTCACCCATGGGTCATACTAGACCTATAACTGCTCGTATATTGAGCGAAGTTGATTCAATTGATTCTGGAGTTGCTATGGAGAAGGATCGATTCTTTAGAGAGTTGATTAAGGGTCAGACTTTCTTGGGTATGGCAGCCATGTCGTATCAACCTAAGTCTGTGAGTACATGGGAACAGCAGAAAAGTGCCTTTTTGCCTTGTCCTGACATCGATTTTCTACAGGATGTGGTCTCCTTTATTGAAGATTTGAGGTTGGCTGGTATACGATTTGTATACTTTTCATCCTCTCCTGAACGTGAAAGCAAATGTAAGGACAAATGTAAATGTTTCGAGTTACATCAGCGTTGGTCAAGCCTATCCATGAAACATGACCGCCTCTTGTTTTGCCTCTTAGCATTCGCAGGTGAAAAACTTGGTCTAGAGATTGATTGGAATAGCTGTATACTATTATCATCCTCTGACTCCTCGTATCTGGATCCACATGATCGAAAAGCACAACTCCCACGTGGCATAGATAATATTCGAAATCACATCAAGAATGTGGATGATATCCCACTTCATGTTTCCTTGTTTGCTGAATGCAATCCAAGGACTACACGAGAGATGGTTAAAATCTTTCAAGAGAATGGAGAAGTGGTGTGTTGTATTGGTAGTTCCCTTTATGATTCGAATGTTGAGTTGTTTGCTGGTGTGAGTGCAACATAGCTCTTCTATGTTTGTTGCTTTTGTTGGCTCCACTGACTCGTTTTGTCGTTTCTCAATCAGGCGGACATTGGAATTGGAGTAGAACCTCTAAGTGTTTTGAAATCGCGAGGTCATACAACAGGTCCTATATCACCACTAGTAGCTCAATCTTCTTTTACGACTTTGCCGTGTGCACTCTACCTACATTTCGATACCTCATTCTATATCTTGACTCAAGTTATTGGAGAAGCGAGAACGTTGGCCGCTAATGCTCGTCAGGTGAGGAGCGGATAAGGTGCTGATAGAGTTTATGAAACCTGTATTTTGTGTTTCAATTCCTTTTTTTTTGTTCATAACAGGGCTTTCTTTTCCTTGTTGGTGGACTATCATGCATATCAACCATTCTAGTATTTTCGTATTGCTTGCTGTTACCGCCCATCATGACTGGCTATCAAATCATTTGGTTATCATGGCTGATGCTACCCTTAATATCCACGGCATTCTTGTTTACTGAAGCAGATGAAGATGTTATGATTATGATGCCAGGTGAGTGGTTTTTGATGTTGTAGTGGTCTGGGATGATGTAGGAACAGGTTGAAGGTCGGATTAAGTTTCATAAGTCGGTGTTAATCTGAAGTTTTTTTCTTTTGTCTTTCAACATAGTCAAAAACCAAGAACACCTAAAAGACATTTGGAGGTATTCGTGGTATCTCACTGCCAGATTCTTGGTACCAGTAGGTACCACAGTGGCTGTTTATGCCATGTAAGTAAAACTTGGCACAAGACAGCTATTTGTACGTTGAAAAAAAAAACAATGTGAAAACTCACTGAACCTATGCAAATTCAAATCCATAGGAGTCTTGGTGACTTGATTTATAGGACGGAAGTGACTACAATATTTGGACCTTACGAAGTATTGGACGAGAGGTCGAGATGGGCTGTTCTAGTAGCGCAGAACTTGGGAATTGTGACTTATGTCTTGTGTGTCGGTAAGAAAAAAGTAATCCACGCCGTCGAATCGATGATCGACAACAGTATAACATTTGTCGTTTGCCTGCAGTAGTGACATCCTTGTCATTCCTTCACCAAACACGTCCATTCTATCAAACGGGTACTAATTATGTGTGGTTGGGAATTGTATGCGCTGGGTAAGCCATCTTCCGTCAGCTTCGCTTCTTTTTGGTTGTTCACTTCTCTACCTTGAATCTTACCATCAACTCGTGCCACAGTATCATCCTACAAATCCTCTTTGCAGTGATATCTCTAGCCAACAGTCCATTAAGCTTGTCATTAATATCATGGAGAACATGGTTAGTAGCTTTCGTCTTCTTATTAGTCTTGTTACCAATTCAAGAGGTAGTCAAGTTGCATGACGCAAGAGAATGGACTCAATTTCAAAAACGAGCTAAATTAGAATTCAATACTAAGCTTGGCATGCATTCCCCTTTGTAAATCAATACAATATATAGTAGTAGTAACTTGGAAATTAGTGTATATTGAAATTCTTTAACTCAGCTTGCTGCGACATTGTGACTGTTCATTTCGGTCACTTGTCCACTTCTTCTTCAGCATTATCACCATCATCGTCATCAAGCTGTAGAAACGGATGTGATAAAGCTTGTTCTGCAGTGATACGCGCAATGGGATCTAGTGTAAAGCATTGTTCCAGCAAGTCATAACCTTCATCCGATATCTTTTTAGCATTCAGATATCGGATACTATGACACAGTTTCTTTAAATCTTGTCTGGAACTAATGTCTGGTATGTTTGTATCAAACGTGCGATCTAAACAAAGATTTTGTTATTGAGGAATCTTTCAGATTTGGTTTTTTGGCGACGACTTATGGTAACAAATGGATGATGAAAATGTTCGCATGCTTACTAAAACGGGTAGCCAGTTCCTTCAATGCCTTCTTGCCAAACAAGTTTCCCATTTCAATCAAAGCTTCACCATCATCGTTCGATTGAAAGAATGGGAAGAGTCCAGTAAAGAGACTCAACATGATGACACCCACCGACCAGATATCAATCGCTAGAAGCATTTGATTGAAGATGAGAAAATCAGAAAAATAATGGTAAAAACTTATGGATCAGATATTCAGATCTGAGTTTTTGACAACCGACAAAAACTACAAATGGATCACATACCTGTAGTCTGATGTTGAACTTTGAACAAGACTTCAGGTGCTCTGAATCCTCGTGTACCAGCGCGATTAGCCTTTGCTGAAGGTCTACACAGGTATTTTGTCAAGAGTGTATTCTTGTTCTTGTCCCTAACATGACACAATGTTACCGAGTATCATTCACCAAATATCCAGGTTTTCCACGAGCAGCAATCAATTGAGCTTCAATCTGAGCATCCACTCGTCGTTTCTTTGGTGGTACGGGTTTTTCCTCTCGCTATGGAGTGAGATATTGTTGAGAACTTCTACCCAAAAAAGGGTAGTAAAATAATCGTCACTTGAATGTCCAAAGCAATTACTTGAGCTAATCCGAAATCCGCCAAGACACCACGTTTCCTTGGTCTCGAGTATAAAAAGTTGCTTGGTTTCACATCTCGATGAATAATGTTTTTGGAATGTACGTGTTTCAAAGCTTCAAAGAGTTCTCGACAGTAACTAGAAGTCGATTGAGATAAATTGTTTAGTTGCTGAGCAAGATGGCCGACCGTAATAATCTGCTGGACGTACATTTTGATTTCGTCCAGACTCATCATGTGAAAGTAGTCCTGAAGGAAAAAGGTGATATGATGAGGCCAAAAACAGCGACCTGATAAATCAAAGGATTACACGATTTCGTTCGTATCTTTGACACCATCAGCGCTTACCCTGAAGTCCTCATGTTCAAAGAATGGCAGAACAGCGACCACTTGATCTTCATATCTCTTTGCAGTGATCAATGGAACAACATGATCGCTCCCTCTAAGAGATATGAGGAATTATAAGAAGACCTTGCCCCTTACTCCTCAGCATTGGTTTTTTTGCCTTCTCAAAAACACAACATCGTCAACAACTCCACAATTACAAACAATCTGTGTACCTTAAATCACGTAATATACTAATCTCATTCAACATGCGTTCAGGACTACTTGTATGATATATCCTCTTGATTGCCACGTATGGTTTTGGAGTTTGTTGTTGATGAGACGAGGCATCACTACCAATGACTTGATTAAAATCGTCATGTTCTTCGTGATCATCGTCTTCAGCGAATGTAGCCAAGTGGATCCAGTCTTCATTGTTGTAATGGGTTGTTCGAATATCTTTTGCCTTGTACACGGTTGAGAATGTGCCTTTAGACGACGTAAAGAATTTGCATTGAGTTTTAAATGATGAAAAAAGGTCTGTATATGACCGCATTGGATCAGTCTAGTACTGGCTTCCAACTGTAATCTTATACTTGAACATAATGACAATAAATGAAGCACTTTGATTGCATCCTTCACTCCAGTCTCGTTCATCGTGATCCAAGCAACAACAAAGAGCTCATCGTGCTCGCAATTGTTCACCATCGACTCCTATTCCGGCATCAAATGTTCAAAGTCAATCTTCTTGACAATTTACCTTCACCAATCTTTGTAACGACCTTGTAATCATTTGATATAGATGGAAACCAATCATAAAAATCTTGTATTTCAGTTTCTAGATCTATTCAAAACACCACAGGATCCATTGGTTAATGTACACGCAGCTGAAAGGAAGAAACATGATGATAAAGCGACAAGGGAGACGATAGATCAAACTGATTAAGTACAGCTGTTAAAGGATGAACATGTACATACCATCATCTCCATGATTGCGTTCCTTCCTTTTTCGACTCATCGTGTCTCTTTGTGCTTCGCTTGTGGTTCGCTGGGGGAGAGCACTAGCACTGTGCTTCTTCGCAAAAACAAGCAAGTGCTTCTTCGCAAAAACAAGCAAGTGCTTCTTCGCAAAAACAAGCAACACACCGCCAGTAGATTTTAAATAAGATTTATGCTTCATGCTTTATGAAGGTCGATTAAATTTACGTGACAGCGGATTCAATAGCATACAGCTTTGGGAACCGTATTGCAGTATTGCCCACATTTTGACTCCTGTGTTTGCAACTTTAACTATATATAACTCTAGTTCTAAACATGAGAAATACTAACTAACCAAACTGCCACCATCACCAAAACTTCTCGTTCTTAGTCTTCTTCCACTTCCTCGGCTTCAATCTCACCACCCTCAGCACCAAAAACCGTAGGTTCAGCAGATGACACATCAACATCCGGCATGACAACATCACTGCAATCCCAATTCCACTTTAAATAGCTAGATTTGACCTTAAGACTCTCACAATGCTTGGCAGTCATGGAGAACCCATACGACATGGGAGCATACCGTATATACATCCATAGCGAAATCACTCCTAGTAGCACTACTGCAAAGTATTGTATTGTTTTGGGTGATCTCATTGCTAGCATATCAAAGCAAGCAGCCAGTAACAGTATGCTGAAATACAGTGCTGGGAAGTAGTGATGCAAAAAGAGCTGCAATAACGTATGGGAATTGTTGAGTAAGAGACTGATGCGAATGCATGTGGAGAGAAAAGAAGCACGAATAATAACACCCCCAAAAAAAGTTGCGACATAAAATCTGACAACATTTCCACGCTTCACGAGGACTACTCATCACCACAGACAATTCGTTTACCTGTCGTTTTGGAAGGAAGAAGGGAAGATAATGCAAAGCCCAACCCATGTACAAAAATGTTACATTGCTAAGTCTCCTCCAGCCAGCTAATGTTCAATGTCAACGAAGGTTACTCATGGTGCAAAAACGGGACAAGAGGGCCAATCTTTTCCACTTTACCTGGAGACAAGACAATCATCTGCCTCTTCATCAACACAGCCAATACAAGTGCGCATATCACCGACACTATAGTCGAAAGAGAAGCACTCCACCATACAAATGGATTTCCTAATAGATATATCTGCCTAGAAGGTCCTGATTTTGAAGACCAATATGATATACCACGACCCATATATGGCCAAGAACCTATATTGTTCCATTCATCAAAAATAATTAAAGGTCCTATTTTGTCATTCAACCGACAGCAGTTTTCCGCTTACCCGCACGAGAATCAAAGGGATGACTTCCTGTCAGACCTTCATTTATCTCCCACATGACTTTATGAATCTAAAGGAAGTGTTGTCGGTTACGACAATTAAAAATATCGGGTGCTTTTTTTGCAATCAGGCCCTTTTTTTGCAATCAGGCCTACCTCAAAAAACTTTCTAAAGAACCCAGGTCGTCTGTAATTGACGATAGTTGCATTGGCTGGCATCTCTGGATGCTCATTTGCTTCAATCCTCCACCTTTGAGATAGTTTACGTAAGATCAAGACTTTGTTGTTGTGTGCAACAAAGGTAGCCCAAAGTGGAAATAAACTTACTCAAGCAAGTCGGCTCGCCCCTTCTTAGCACAAGTAACTTCTTGCTGTCCAAACCCTAAAAGAGCGTTTAACTCAGCGACCACACCAAAAGCACTGAAATCTATCCAGCCTCACTCACCCCATTCAGGTAATTTCACTGCATGCGAAAACAACTTGCATCCAGTGTTGGCATGAACCAATTGTATCTTGGTCGATATCGCAAGTACATCATCTTGTCCTTGCTTATGGTTGACAATTTCTACACGCCAATGATCATTCGTGTCTCCTAAAAATCCTGTTGGAAGGTTTAATAGAACTTAGAGTCTCGATCATTTTTTGGCATGATCAAAGAATATTGGTGTTTTACCTTCAATTCCATACCCCGAAACTTCGAAATGATCTTCATTTTCAGTTACAGGAGCTCGATGATCGTGACTATGTAATTGCTTGTTGGTGGCCGTGTGTTCTGTTTTGTGAGAAAATTAGCTTTCACATTGTTCGCCGCAAAAAACCACCCCGAACTGAATCATACCGAGTCGGACAACATCACCATGACGCAATCGTTGAAATCCAACTATCGGTTCTTCTACTATGGATCCATTCGCAGAAACCAGTGGCTTCTTGACTAAAAACCAACTGTTTTCATCTCGGAAGGGATATAATGTGATTTGCTGTTGTTTGGAACCAGTTGGATAGGACTACGCGAGTATAGAGAGTAAATCTCGTCAGTAGACTGTATTGGAACACCGAAAAGGTGTACTTTTCCCCCTCCAAATTTCCAAAAAATACGACTTACATGTTTATGAGAGTGCAAATATCCACCATTCGTGGATTCATGTCGTAAATATATTCTTGATCCATATGCAACATCTAAGCGAAAAAAAAATTGCTTTAAGTCTCAGCAGCAATAACAAAAAAGGGACCACGAAAGTATCTAATGAATCTCACCAGCATAACAATCCTTGATTTCATTCCCTCTCAGCGTGGCTTGAAACTCTGGACTCATAAAGCCTGATCCCGATCCAGAATTGGGCAATGCAATGAAATGTACAGCGAATAATGATGTATATACAATGAAAGGGATGACAATCAAGCATAAAGCTCGAGCCATAAAGTGTTGAGCGAAACGGATCTATCAGAGACGGTGGTGTTTGTTAGTCTAGAGATAATATTATTCTTGGGTGTGAGCTGGACCCCAAAAAAAGGACTGTCCTGTCCAATAATACACACAGGAGTGACACGTAAATCACCAAGTATCTCCCATAAGTTCTGTATAGTTGAGATACCTATTAAAGCAACCACAAACAGACCTGTTTGTGATTGTGGCATGTTACTGTTCCGTTTCTGATTGAACGTTCTTGTTTGACGACACTCACCAACCCATTTTACACTTTTTGCGAAACGGAAAGGCAATTGTCTAGTCAGTCCTTTTAAATGCTAATAAGTAGACTCGTTGCAGGCGAATCACCTCAGAGCAAGTCCCAATGACACTCCTAATCAACAAACAAAATAAAGTGGTCAGCGAAAAATTTGGACTCAAGGAGACGACGAATGCTTGCCTGTCAGCGCTAATGGATACCACCAGTTGAAAGTGAATGGCCTACACATTTACAAGAACAACACATGAGTCGCAGTCCGGGGCAATACCCTCACGTTCATTTCTCGTTCAAATTAATTGAAGTAAAAAAAACAGGCCAAAGTGCATCTACGTACCTTCGTTGCTGAGACAAGAAATCAGTCCACATCATACACGTCAAAGCAATAAAGAAAATCAGTATGGAATCCAGCAAGATATGTCTAGACAAGGCCGTAAATCCATTCTCAAAAACAAGTAAAAGTGCAGCTAGCAATGATCCTGGTATCGAGTAATTCATGTTTCGCATCGTCATGTATGCTACTGGAACAGTCAAGACTCCACATATTGCTGGTACTAGTCGCATTGCGACGTATGGTACTCGTGGTTCGATGTAATCCATTCCGATTTCCTGAGAAGAATAGTTGAAAGTGTGAGCCGAGGCAACAAAAAACTGTCACAGTATCCGAAGTATAACCTTGAATGTGAAGTTGCCATCGAATCCAGCCAATACTCCAGCTGAAGCGATTAATAGCTTGCCCAACTAAACAGTTGTGTTAAACCTAATCTGTCAGTATTGCGACAATGGCCTGCGTGACTTGAAGTTCTTCGAGCCTGACCGGAGGATGTACATCTAAACAAAAAAAAGGATGAGGAAGGATCGAATTGAGACAGACAGTTTGTGCGTCGAGATACACACACACACATACCCATGAAGAAGTTTCCTTTGATGTACTTGCTAGCAAATCCACCTTTAAAATCCAGTTGCACATGTACAATTTAGTCACATCGAGGTTTTCATCCACTAGATCGTCACATACCAAAATGAACTTCATCAAACACCACATTAGGAGGTTGCGATATTTGAAACTGTTTGAAGAGAAGAAATAAGAATCGAACTTTGACACTTCAAGTGGTTTCAGTTGGAACAGTTACCAGTCGAACGATTGCAGCCAAGATCGTGAGAGCACCAACGAGATACAAATCCAACGACTCGATCGAATCATAGTCCCAAGCCGAGTCATAAGGCACTCCTCCTGCTCTCTAAAACAGCAATAAAATCGAATCAAATCAATGGAAATAACTTCTCTTAACAAACACAAAAGCAACGAGATCAGATCTAATTCTCACTTACACGTAAATCGTCGTCTTCAAACAATAAATCATCAGATACCAAGCTATATCCTGGCGGCGCTTGAGGCTTCCTCCTTCGAACTTCCATTATACCGGTCCCTGGTTGGCAAGCTCTTCCTCGTGAAATTTGAAAATTGGTGGAGAGTTTGGAAATATTGGAGACAACCTCGTGTTTTCTATTATAGAACACCGCCAGCGTTGCGAGACACGCGTCAACTGATTATTTGACACGCGACTCGCAATTCCATGACAGTATGCGCCGACTTCATAATGCGTCTCGAGCGTTAACTACGCTACCTTATGTATTACCACTAGGATCTACGTTTTTAATATTCACAGCTTTCTTATACCTTACACATATTGACTGCATCATTCCATTAAGAGGAGCCTGATTACTATTCCATTCAATGACTATGATCGAGCTTTCAAGAGGAGTATCAGGATTCAAATTGGGTTGTAAAGAGCTCATTTTGAATTCGTATGCGACTCTTGCAGATCCGAACAGATCCTACAGCACTTGGGAGGCTTTCAAGTTAAATTCAATAGATACTATATATGTAAAATCTCCTTTTATGCGTCTCAGCTTGTTTCTGTCTTCATAGCTCGTTGCAACATTCGACTTCGATAAGTTTGTCAATGTTCCGATAATGATCCATGCGGAGCTTGCACAAAAAGCGCTGGAAAAGTTCAAGAAACATCGTCTCAGAAGCTCATCAGCTTCAAATCGTTTGACGCGAATATGCACTTCTTTAGTGATGCAAAGCTATAATACAAAGAACTTGACCTAAACTTGCAAACTAGCCAATCGTCTCACTCATATTATGGCATGCTGCTCATACAACCTCTTCCTCACTCGATAATAATCCTCTCCAACCCATCCGTCCAACACTACCTCCTTCCGTTCTCGTCGTCGTTTAACAGCAATCCGTCTATTCACAACCAGGACTCCAGAATTGAATTCAGCTTGCATACCATCATTCTCTAGTATGCGTCTGAATTCAGATAGCTTGATTTCTCCAATCACTACTGGATGATGTGATGGTCGTTCTGATGCTGATATAATATCTAGCACTGGTGTTTCTGACAAAGCTGCAGCTTGTGCTGTGACTGCTTTTGCTACTTTTTGTTCATCTGAAGAGCCAGCTGCAGTAGGTTCTTCTGAATCCACTTGCATCTTGTCGTCAGCAGGAACATTGTCTTCTTCTGCTTGTACATCTTCTATTTGAGCCGGATTACGTACTACTCCAGTCACATATGCTAGAGAATACTCGTCCAGTGGCTTGATTTGCAGACTCGATACAAGAGTATCCGTCAAACGAACCTGAATTGGAGAGAATGGCTAACGACTTTCGCAAGAAAAAATCAACCAACTAAATCAAGTAACGTACTCTGTAGATATTTGTACTCGACGACACATTAATAGCTTCACCAACGATGGGAGCATAAACGTCATCAGTCACTTGAGAATTTTCAATAAAACTCTGCTGTAAGCTTGCTGTGGCTTCCTCCGTTCCGTGAATCAAGATCTAGGAAGTTTTGATTCAATAAAAAGAGACAACCTACAAACTTATCGAGTGCCTTAACAGAACTTACCAGCTTTCGAGCTTGTAATGGCGGAATAATATTTCTCACAGAATTGCCATCAGCCCGTCCTTCCAAATCTACGTACATGACATTGCATCTTACAGCAATATCAACAGTCTCCTCGACAACTTTGTTCGGAATCACCTCCTCTATTGGTCGGCTCTCAACTACTTCAGCTGCTAATTTCTAGTTAAGGGTCATGAGGAAAAGTAAGTGAGAAACTCTCTGTGGGAACAAAAGGAAAAATTCTCCTGGACTCACAGCAGCTTCAGCTTCATCAGCAGCTTGTCTAGCAGCATACGGAAACTCAGATTTAGCAAACACACTAAGATCAATCTGCTCTCCATAATCATCAACTCGTCGTCGACTCTCATGAGCAGGAAACATTCTAAAACTTTGTGACTGTTTAAAAAATCCTCCTGCTCGATGAGCATCTCGTACATATGCATCGAACTCAGTATTGAGAAGGTTACTGTTGGATTCAGCAAATGCATCACGGACTAGAGACCGATTTAATACAGGTTGGTTTAGTTCTGATTCGTCATCAGATTCATCATCGTCGTCTAGAGCACGTAATTTACGAGCTTGAGATGTTCGATTGGCTTCGTTTTCCTTGTCTCGTGCTTCCTTTTCACGGAATGTTGATAACTCGTCTCCTTGTAATGGTACTTTCTTGCTGATCTAAGTTACAACAGACTGTCAGAACTGGTAAAAAAAGCCATATAGCTACACATGCATATGTACCTTGAGGTTCATATCCGCATTCAGGACACGTATCGCTCCAGTCTCATTCTGGGAGCCAGTTGAGTCCCACATCTTGTAAAGTCTACGGGTCATGGATCTCGGATATCCACGATCAGTGATTATTATGAGATTCTTGGACACGGTAGCCCATTCCACAAACAGACTTTTTGAAAAGCCAGCATCCATTCCAGGCATAGAAGCTAGCACTATCTTGCCTACATTTCCAGCACGATCTAAATCCTTTAGTGAATGTGCTAGCTGCATTTTCCTAAACGTTGGAGGAAGAGTATGGCAAAAAAATCAGCCTTCGCAAACACCCGTCTATGTCCCATTAGGTTTCCAAGGACGTACTTGAACTCGAATGGATTGTCTCGATTCCCAGAGAATTCCTTTTCTATAGATTCACCCATCCATTCCAGCAGCACTTTGGCAGCTGTGACAGTTTGCGAGGACTGATGGGTCAGCATGAACAAGGGCGTATTCAGTGATTTACTACGCCAGTGAGCTTCGAGAATATATGCGATCTCTAGTACACGGGTTGACGAATCCACTGGTATTAGAACCGATGCGTTGTGTTGAATGGCTGTGGATATTGCGTCTGCAAAATGGATAAGACGTGTTGGAATATAAAAGAAAGTGATCGGCTTTTTTAGCGACGATATCTTACCGAGTAGAGCTGTTTCTCTAATTCGTCGGGGTGGTTGAGAATTCAGAGCATTGTAGGCGTCTGTTATCAGTACAGATGGTCGACTAAATGCATCTATACCTTGATGCAAAACTGTAGGATCCAAATGTCTAACGTTGAAATGTGATGAGATGAAAAATGACGTGAAGCCAATATTTTATGTCCAGCACTGACCTCTCTTTGATGTGATTGTAGTCCACGGCATACACGATATCATTCGTGTCTTCTTTGATCTTCCATATAGTTCCTCCTACTGTATGGCCAGCTGGATATGGAGTAATTTGGATACCAGATGCCTTGCCTATTTGACAGGTGAACAATTGTCTTTTTTGGACCAACAACACAACCCAAATTCGAGAGCTTACCCTTCAAGCCTTCAGTTTGCATGAATCTTAGCTGAGTCATGCGATCAAAGGCCGTATAGACATCCTGGTCCGTAAAGAGAGTAAAGTCTTCGCCATCGAGCCGTGAAGCTACAGCATCCAGCATACATCGTCTGCCCATTTCGAACACAGGTAGAGTAGCATATATAGGACAGGCCAAACCTAGTTTTGATACTAGATATGTCATCGCACCTAAATGGTCCATGTCTCCGTGACTGATGAGAAGAGCGTCAATGTGCCTGATCTGCCTAGAGTTGCAAATGCAAGATGTTTGGATTTAGCGATTTAGACGTGATAGGGAATGAATTTGATGAATATAAGGGGGTCACGATATGTAATATGAGCGTAATATACGTCTATACACGTGATCATACCTCAGGATTGAATGTAATTCGTCGACATCAAATGTTTCACTCCATCCACAGTCGAGCAGAATCCGAGCTTCTTCAATTTCCAGCAAGTAACATAGAGGAGCCTCACTGTGCGCTCCTGACAATGGAGTAAATCGCACTACTGAACTCATCACTCGGAGACCTAACTAGAGGCTGCTTGCTCTGGTCCAAGTTTCAAGTTTGGGTATGAAATGGTTCAATGGTTCTGAGGGTTGAGCGAGTGTTTTGTGCAAGTCACGAAGATTTATTGCTCAAATTACGTGTAATTCATTGGCAAATTCGTCGTCTTCTAGTTCAAGGTTGCTAGTTACCTCCGAGGAAAACGCCAAATTCATTCAATACATGATTCAATCAATCACAACATCTTCAAGCTTACTGGGTATTTCGCGTTTGATTTTGCAAGACTTTCAATTTTCAATTTTTAGTTGAATTTCCCTACGTCCGTCTGGTCGAAAACTGAGTGAATCTTTTGTCCTTTGAATGTGTTTGGTCACAACAACGAGTTGCCAAGTTTTACCCATGGAAAGGACTATAACTGAACACGCACTAGCCGTCTATACAAAATTTTCTTCCATAGTTTCGCCTTCTACGAAATAACGATGAACACAGGAGAATCGTTGGGAGGTGTATCCGTCGAATCACCATCAGGGACGCTTAGACTCATTCAGTCGACGGATACTACTCGATCATCAACTACTCAATCACCAACTACAGATAGATATATTACCGGTGGTCATGGCTTAAGGCGTACGATCGATAAAATGAAGAAGATACCGCAATCACCATTACCACAACCATCACCCGCTTATAGCAAATCTCGTACTACCTCCATCGAAAATAGTAGAAGTAGTAATAGTAGTATCGGTGGTCTGAAGATCTACGACGATGATATCTGTTTGACTTCTGGTGGTGGTGACGACGATGATGATGATGATGATGTAGCCACTGTAGTGGTACTTCCCCATGAACCAATACCATCATATCCTGCGGTATCGTATCATACATCGCCTAAATCTCTAGCAAATAGAAGAAGTAAATCAGCTTCTACTCCTCGCCCCTCCATAGTACCACGATTCTCAACAAACAACAACAACAACAACAACAACGACCATATTACGCGATCGAGTCATAAACTATGTATTGAACCAAGTCGTGTAGTAGTCAGCAAACCAATCTTGCCACCTGCAGCTGCAGAAACACGAATGTCTGTGCCCCGTCGACGCTTTTTGGAAATGTCGTCTCCACCACTACCCAAAAATGAAAAGGTGAAGGTGATGCGGATAGAGAGGAATCCTATAGAGATTGATCTTACACTCTCCGATGATGATGAAGATTTTGATGATACCAGTAGCACCGGCAGTAGGAGTACGATAAATACTCCTGTTGCTAAGCCACACAGTCGTGCACCATCCCATGGGTCATCACGCACTGCTGCTTACGCCGAAACATCATCACGTAGTGAACCACCAAGTAGTGGTGGTACCAATACGATAAGCAATACTGATGCATATGCCAAACCACACAATCTACAACCATCGCCATTCATGAAGTCTCCCCCACTCAATCCCTCCTCCGAGGAACAAGTCAGAAATCAGGCACTGACGGATGCCTTTATATTGACTGGTTTTTTGAGCCAGGAGATATCTAATAGCGCTTATGACTCTTCTTGGCTCAAACTGGATCAAACGTTTCCGATTGCCAGTGGCTGGATTGAAACACATCACTCTACTGAAGAAAAGCTTCGTAGAAGTAGTGTTATCATGCTTGGTGAGTTGTCACATGTCAATTGGTGATTTTTTATTACGCAGAGGATTTGTGTGCTTACATGTAACGTGTATGCTCACTCCATTTTTATCCCTCTTATCAGATAGTCCTGTTGATGTGAATGAATACATCAGACTCGACTCGGGAGCAGGAGATGTACATGACGATGACGAGTACTCTTCTACTGCATTATATAGGTGTGCTTCCAAGTAGTAGTATACAAGTAGTAGTGTTGTCTTTTGTAGTTAAATGCAACTAAATATGAAACAAAGCTCAATATCTGCAAACTTTTAGACACTGTGTGTACTCGTCTATTTTAATTGTGTGGTGGTGTCGGCGACGAGAATCACCATCATAGTGGTGAAATACATCGTAATGAGGGGGGAAATACATATAATGCTTATAATACAGATTCCTTTCACCGCCAGTAGCATATATAGGAATTCCTTTATTTACTTTCGTCTGATGTAGTGTGGCAAAGCATACTTTGCAAGAAGAGTTGCGGTTGATGCTGTCTTGACGTTGATAAGCTCGACGTGCCTGTAAATCTCTCTGAAATGGGGACTGCCCAGAGCATCCTACTCAAGGGGCATGTTAATCAGGACATGACTTCCTACACCACCTGTCGTATACTACTTTGTCGATCACTACATGATGAAGCAGCTTTTCTCTTCATCATGAGTGCTTCGTCAACAAACAGACGCCTCAACATCACCCTCGGACTTTTTGGCAGACAAATCAGTCAAAACATGTCTTGAGTCAGCAAATCATATAGCAATACTGCTTGAATGCTATTATCTGTAAACCCAACCTTGTCAGGCATCCCACCATTTGCCCATTATGCATATTCCACTCTGCAATGGTTCATTCATTGATCATTCACTTTGTGAACGATGCCGCTTCCGTCGTCTTGGAATGAATGAAGCAATGGCAAACACACATAAAGGCTCTCGAGTCACCCACATGAAATTTGATTGTTGGGAGGGAACTCTTGGTTACGTTTACCATAATAGCTGTGGAACTCAATCGAGAGTTTCGTGGTTTGGATGTGGAAGGTATTTGGAAACGGATTTCCCTTGGGATGGAGAGAGAAGGAGTGTCGAAGTCTACTACGACTACTACTGCTACGACCACCATGGCAGTGATAATGAAGCCAGACTACCATATATTACCGATGATCAAATGATTTCTCCCCGTGGTTAGCGGGTCATGAGATATCCCACTGCAAGACGTGCATGCAAAAGAATCCGAGTAGCTTTGTAGAATAGGTCCTGTCAGCTAGATTTGGCTATGTAGTCAGGTTTCGTTTGCTGTAGAATCATATGTAGTCGGTGTAGAGAATAGTTACAAATATAAAGGCTAAACTGAAAATAACTCTTTTGATATGGGGGGTTTGTTTTACGTTTCTGCACTACTGTGAGGAACGAGTTCTGTCGTCGAAGTAGATGCCGAATCGTTTCTGAAATTCTCGAGGAGGTTGGCTGTCGAGGTATGGGCTGATGCCATGTCTCTTGTTAGAGTGGCATACCGCAGCGAATCATGCTGTGATTTTGCTGGTTTCGTTACTGGTTTTTCTTCGTATAGCGGGTTGACCGCAGTAAATGTATCTTGATATATTGGATTCGATCCTGTTTGAAAGACAAAGTGTTATTTATGAGTCATGTACTCCTCTCTTTTGCTTTCTCTAAACTTAACAACACTTACGTAGAATGACAGAATCTCGTCCCTGCATAAACGGATTTCCTCTCAATGAGTTTGTCAGGTATGGGCTCTTGACCTTGCTGCTGTTGCTGTTTCGTAATAAGCTGTCTTCTGAAAGCAGCGTATTGAATGGAGCAAACCCCTTCTTTTGTGAAGAAGGGCCCTCACTGCTGGAGCCAATCCACGCTGCCCTGATCATGGAGATCATAGCTGTAACAACACCCCATCCTCTCACAGCAAACCAAGCCATCAACAAGGCAGTAGACAAGCCACTCGTCAGCATGGACGCAATAGTCAATACATCACGAGCAGTCTCAGTAGCACTTGGATCCGATTGTGCAGCCAAGAAAATCAGTGAAAGTGCTTGGAATCCACATACAGCACTATTGACATAGTTGTCTTCGGCTTGTTGGTATGGTTTGACGAAAAAGATGACTGTTCCCCAAGTCACGTTTGCTAGCATCTCACAAATTATTTGGACGGTGGGTACTTGTCCCAGTGTTGCGAGGATCACTCCTGTAATGATGTGTTTGGCGAATATGGCCATTGAAAGGACTACGAGTTCTTTCTTGAAGGAGCCGTAGATGAAGGAGTATTTGGATTTAAGGTCCTTGATGTCGAAGAGGTCCTTCCAGCTGTATCGGACGACAACAATGTAGGCGAACCAGACTGTTGGGATGAGATCAAAAATTACTAGGATTAATACAGCAAAGGCTGTAAGCCATCCAGGGCATGTTGCTGCTAGTGTTAGCTGTACAAAAATCTGTGAGCTACAAAAACAAAAAAGCTTCCACAGATCATCTGCATACCTGGTAAATCGATACCGCTGTCAATTGCTGATGAAGCACAACAAATACAACCACATACAACGCTATTAAGAAAAGACAAAGATCGTTAGCTTTTTCGTGTCTGATCCTTGAGATTAAATGAAATCATACCAATATAAGAGCTGAAGAGATCATCAGTTTGTCGAGCAATGAAGTTTGGTAGTCGATCCATACGTTTTAGAGTCATGATCAAAGAATAGAGCGAGATCATGATGGCTGCCAATATAGTAAGAATAAACAAAATCCCTGTCACAGTGACGAAGAAGAGATCTGCACCAAAAAAGAAACGCAACGTCATCATCAGCCAAGCACCACATTCCTAAACAGCTCTTACGTTCTGGTGCAATGCCTAATACGTATGCAAACTTGGCCAAACTCCAGTTTGGTGGCACCTCGACGGCAGGCGAGGAATACGTGCTGGTTTCCATATCAGAGATTATATCTCTACGCGCAAGTCTCCTCGTTACGGGTGTCGTTTCGTTGGTTGACGATGCCCAAGAATCCAAAACCGATGGTATGTT